ACCCTCCCCCGAGATCCGGCCCGTGTGGCCAGCTCCAGCGAGTGCCAGGGTTCTGTCCCCTCCTTAGCATGGCTGTCCTGCAAGAGGACCCTAAGCACAGTGATAAAGACACAGCTCAGCCTGGCTACTGGGTCAGCCCAGCGTCAAGAGTGAACGTGCCAAAAAAATTAAAAGAATGAACCTGCTGATGTCCAGGGTCCTCTTCACTGTGCCGGCCGGACGAATGCGTGCTCGTGTGCGTGCTCACGTGTGCCTACACCCATATGTGTCCATGTGTCTCCCTATGTGTGTGCATGTGCTCACATGTGCATGTGCCCAAGCAGGCACACATGAATGGTGACAGGAACGGTGACCTGCGCTCAGTGAGCTGCACAGGTTTTCTCTCCTTCCCAGGGCCCCCTTACGCTTTCCCTCAGCTGCACCTGCCTCTTGCTTCATTCGGGAAGTCCCCCTGTGCTCTATGGGGTTCAGGTCCTCTTAATCTCCTCTTAAGGGTTCATGCCCTGTGTCTAAGAGGCCTCACTGTCAACCGTGCTCTCGTTTTTTTTTTTTTTTTGCGGTACGCGGGCCTCTCACTGTTGTGGCGTCTCCCGTTCCGGACGCGCAGGCTCAGCGGCCATGGCTCACGGGCCCAGCCACTCCGCGGCATGTGGGATCCTCCCAGACCGGGGCACGAACCCGTGTCCCCTGCATCGGCAGGCAGACTCTCAACCAGTGCACCACCAGGGAAGCCCAACAGTGCTCTCTTGATAACAGTCCTATTGACAATAATAAAGCCATTTCCACCCGTCTTGGACGTGGGCCAGGCTAGGGGCTCAGGGGTGGAACACTTGACTGCTGTTATCGGAACTCACGCCCCTGTTCCCATTCCTTCCCGCCCTCTCGATCGCAAGCTCCCTGGGCAGGCACAGCTCACGGCCCACACAGTTCTGTGTGGCTACACGTTGGCTGTCCCCCTTGTTTTAGAATGTGTCATTCATTCATTCATTCACTCTGTAGGCACACGTTGGAAACACACTCTCTCCCAACTGCTAGGGAAACAGTAATGGAGAGAGCGGCCCCTGCCCTCCCAGGGTTCAGGTGACTGCAAGTGACGGAGCAGATGGAAGTGTGAGATTCGTACCAGTAGTGCGTGAGTCCAAAGGGGTGACCCTTGAGGTTGCTGACACCCCAGCTGGGCCCAGAAGCCAGAAGGTGAAGGGGGGCCAGCAGGGAGACTTGCAGGTCTAAGCAGGGCAGGAGCTGGGCAGTGAGCAAAGGTGACCTGGCCTTTGGGAGAGGAACACAGGGATACAAGCAGATCAAAGGCTCTTCATGCAGTAGAACCAGTGGGCCAGGAGGTGGGCCCCAGGCAAGCAGTGGAGGACAAGGAAGGGTTTGGAGCAAGTAGGGGCTCCAGACTGAGCAGTGGGCAGAGCTGGGACCACGGCTGTGGCTCTGGGTGGGGGTCAGGTGGCACAGCAGAGACACTGAAGCTCAGAGAGGAGCTACGGGCTCAGACCGAACAGCAAAACGGGGCGGCGTCCGGATGGGGCATGGGAGAGCCCCACCCACCCCTGACCCTGGCTGCACCCAGGCGCCCTTGTTTGGGAGACAGGCTTGATTTCCAGGTCCAGAAGGTACAGTCCACGTGGAATTTTCTAGGTGGCATCAAGCCCTGTCCAGCCTGGGCAGCAGGGTGGGGCCTGGCCTGCTTCCCAGGCACCCCTGTCGTGCACCCCCGTCCCTGCTCTGCTGGGCGCACGGCCCTCCCTGAGAGCCCTGTGGCCGTTCTTGCGCTCAGCCTGGATCCCAGCCTTTCCCAGCAGGTGCCCGAGGGCTGGCCCTTTGAGGGGGCCCCTTCCCCTCAGAGGCCGCTTGTCCCGGACCGCGGCCAGCCCCAGCCCCACCCTGACCCCTGCTCAGATGTGCTCTACCTGTGATTACAGTTTTATTACAGCAAAAGGATACAGGAAATCAGCCAAAGGAAGCGACATAGAGGGTGGAATCTGGGAGGTCCGAACACAGAGCTTCCGCTGTCCTCTCCCGGCACAGCCCTGACGTGTGACAACACACACAGAGTACTGCCACCCAAGGAAGCTCTCCCAGACCTTTAGTTTCTATTGGGGCCTCATCACCTTCTGCCCCCGTGGCTGGCCATCCTTTAGACCCAGCCCTTCCCAGAGTCAGAACTGATGTGCGTGTCCCAAAGCCCTGGGCACAAGTCACACACTGGACCAGCAGGTGGCCAAGGCTCCAGGCAACCGACATGCTCCCATCAGGCAGGACGACGTGGGTCCTGGAGATCCCACCCCAGGAGACGAGGCCAGGACCACACCTCTCTGGTAAAGTCAATTCTTTAAATACACCTGATGCAAGAGGGCTGGGGTTTGCCACACAAGCTAGAGCATCACGGGCACAGAGCACAAGCAAGCTTACGGTGGCCACTTACATTGGTTCAATGAGGAGCCAAGGACTTTCCTTTTGGAGACTCTGATGAGCGATGTCAGGAGCACATGGGCCACCAATTGTGTTGGGGGGGGCATTTTGCACCCCCACCCCTGCCCCTTGGCTGCAGGGCCATGGCCTCTGGCCCCAGGGCAGAGGGCAGCCCCTGGAGGGACGGTTCTGGAGAATGAAGCACCCAGAATGAGAGGGATAGAAAAGCAGCCAGCAACGCAGCTGTGGGGGCAGGCGTCCGGGTGGTGTGTGTGCTGTGGTGTGTGTGGTGTGTGTGGTGTGTGGTGTGTGTGGTGTGGTGTGTGTGGTGTGTGGTGTGTGTGGTGTGTGGTGTCTGTGGTGTGTGGTGTGTAGTGTGTGTGGTGTGTGTGGTGTGTGTGGTGTGTGTGGTGTGGGGGGTGTGTGTTGAGAGTGTGCTGTGTGTGAGACCCTCAGGTCTCATGTCCTTCTGCCCCTCTCCTGATGGTCCCCTCATGGGTCTGTTGGCATCTGCTTCTCCTCACACAGCCCTTTCCCTTCCCCAGCCCTCCCTACACCGCCCCCTGCTCCTGGGCTCAGGGAGACTTGCTGGAGAAAGGCTGGGGCCCAGGCCTGGCCCAGCCCCTGCTTGCTGGAGTGGTGGGTTGCATTCTCCACGATGTTTCCCGTCATCTGTGGCACTCCTCAACTCAAGGATAGTAGGACCGGCCGGTTGCTTCTAAGTGTACTGGAGACATACGGGGAAGGAACACTCCCAGCCCAAGGCCTGCTTAAGGGACTGAAAGTGTCTGGGGTGGCCCTGGAAGAAACCCGGGTCCTCAGCAGTTGCAGGGGAAGATTTCCAAAATCCCACCCAAAATCTCATGCTGAATTAAAGCACAAATTGAATTCCTGGCCCTGCAGGGACCCTGTTTTAAAGCTGCAGCATCAATTGGCAATGAATGGGACCTGGAACAGTGAGATGGGGACCCATGGGGGGACTCTTGGAACCACTAAGTGTCGCTGGTTTCCCTTTCCTGGTGGAAGCAGCCCTTCCAGCCACCTTCCCTGGCACTCAGTCGCCCTTCGCCCGAGGAACCGGAAACCGCCCACCCTGAGGTTGCTGTCTTGCAGGGAACTGCTGGTCCTTTCGAGCACACAGCCCACTGCCTCTCCCTCTCCAGACCCTCAACCAGAGGCAAGTCTCAGGGGGGCCTAGAGGGTAACGGTAACGTAGAAAGTGTGACCCGTGAAGGTCTGTGAGGCACACGGGAAGAACTGGACAGCTGAGCGATTTATATCCACAGAAATGAGGAGAATGTATCCTCAGGGTGTAGGACCAGTGTAGAAGGAACAGGAAGTTGCATGAAGGTGAAGGTAGATGTGGGCTCACTTAGCAGGGCTCTTGGGTCCGTGGGTGACTGCAAGCAGTTGGGGGGCTCTGCTGGTGTGCTTGGTTGGTTGGCAAACCTGGACCCCATGACGGCAACTCTAAACAAACTGAAAATGTCAGAACGTCCATAGCAGATGGTAGAGCAGGAGGTCCTAAGGTGCAGAGAGATCAAATGTTAGAGTGGACTTATCATGTGAGACCTGCTCGCCCACTCCAGAGAGCCTGGAAGATGCACTTTTCACCACACTTCTGAGAAATAAATTCATGAGTGGGGCCCCAGCGTCCTCAGGGCCCTGTGGGGCTCTTCTCTGTAGGTCAGAGCTTACAGTGGCCAAAGCTTCCATCGAGCTGGGGGTGATGGGATCCCAGGGTGACAAGGGCCAAGGGGTGGTACTTGTCAACTTTAAAAATAGACTAGCCAGGGCTCCCCTGGTGGCGCAGTGGTTGGGAATCCTCCTGCCAATGCAGGGGACACGGGTTCGAGCCCTGGTCTGGGAAGATCCCACATGCTGCGGAGCAACTAAGCCTGTGTGCCACAACTACTGAGCCTGTGCTCTAGAGCCTGCAAGTCACAACTACTGAGCCCGCGTGCCACAACTACTGAAGCCTGTGTGGCTAGAGCTCTGCAACAAGAGGCCACCGCAATGAGAAGCCCATGCACCGCAACGAACAGTGGCCCCCGCTCACGGCAAATAGAGAGAGAGCCCATGTGCAACAACGAAGACCCAACACAGCCAAAAATAATAAAAGTAAATTTTAAAATAAATAGACTAGCCTGTTTCACCAGCAAAAGCAGGTTTGTTCTGGAATAGCCAGAGGAATGGTGACTCCGGAAATGCAAGCTACAGGGAACCAGAGGCAAATCCAGAGAACAAGGAAGGGAAACTTGCTTTTATAGGGGAAGGAGGGAGTGTGAGGAGGGGCCGTGGTAACCAGAGTACATTGGAGGAGCTGGGAGTCCACAGTATGGAGGCTTCCCATTGGTTGAGCTGTGGCAGTCTCTGATTGGCTGGGCTGTCTGGGCAGAAAGATTTCCTCCTCCTGAGGGCCAGTAAGTAGAGGCAGCTGTCTTTCCCGTCTGGGTCATGGGCATGCGTGGCGGGCGTGAGAGCTCCCCCACAGGCCTGCCCAGACTCCAGCTGTGGCTGAGGTTCCCTCAATTCTATTACCGAAAGCGGGGTTTGTGTTCTAAAGCCAATAAAGAGGCAAGTTTGGTGGAAAGGAAAGTTTGCTTTATTTTAGAGGCTGGCAACCTGGGGAGGAGGGCGGATTCCTGTCCAAAGGCCAACTCCCTGCCGCTGACGATTAGTTGGCAAGAGTTTTTATAGGTGAAGGGAGGGGGCTACATGCAGAAACAGCACAGTCAGCTCTGACCGTCATCTTGAAATTGGTCATCAGTGGTCTGATCAGCGTCATCTTGATTGTTTTAAGTACAGTTAAATCTTCAGTTCCAAGGGCACGTACTAGGCACTGGTGCGAAACCTCAGACACCTAAGTGGATAGGAGGAATCCTGGCTGACAAGGTGGAACGTGGGAGGGAAAGAGGGGGGAAAGAAAAGTGGAGGCAGGACAGGACCAGCGCCCCTGAGGGGGAGCTGGGGGAGGGGAGACATTCCCACACTTGGAGGGGCCCACTCATGGCGAGGGGATCAGCGGGGACAGAGAGGGACCTTTGGGGGATTGGGGGATCAGAGGGGAACACAGCTAGCATCTCCCCTGCCCACTCGGGCTCTGGTGAGCCTGCTGGGGTCCCAGGCCTGAACCCCCACCCCCTGGGCCTCCCTTCGGCCACGTGGGTTCCCGGGCCTGAGCCCTGACCCAGCCAGGGCCTCCTCCGGCTGCGCAGGTCCCAGAGGGCCTGAGTGCCGCCCCCCGACAAGGCCTCCACGGGCTGCATAGGTCCCAGTGCTGAGTTCTGCCTCCGCCAAAGCCTCCTCTGGCCACGCAGGTCCTGGCAGCCTGAGGTCAGGCCCCTGACAGGGCCTCCTCTGGCCATGTGGGTCCAGGCAGGCTGAGTGCCACCCCCCCTCCAAGGCCTCCTCCGGCTGCGCCGGCCCCTGCAGGCACACCTGTGGGGGCCTGAGCCCCAGCTGGCCTGAGCCCCAGCTGGCCTGTACAGGCACGTGTGCTCCGGGCCAACTTCAGGAATAGACACTGGTGAGAGGAAAACACGCAGAGGTAGGGCTGACACAGCGGGTCCAGAGACCTACCTAGAGGTCTTGGAGGCCTACTGGGGAGGCAGGGATAGGCTGTAGCTCACCATGGGGGCAAGGACACTGATAGAGGAGGCACCAGGGAATATTACTCAGCCATAAAAAGAAACGAAATTGCGTTATTTGTAGTGAAGTGGATGGACCTAGAGTCTGTCATACAGAGTGAAGTAAGTCAGAAAGAGAAAGATAAATACCGTATGCTAACACATATATATGGAATCTAAGGGGAAAAAATGTCATGAAGAACCTAGGGGTAAGACAGGAATAAAGACACAGACCTACTAGAGAATGGACTTGAGGATATGGGGAGGGGGAAGGGTAAGCTGTGACAAAGTGAGAGAGTGGCATGGACATATATACACTACCAAACGTAAAATAGATAGCTAGTGGGAAGCAGCCGCATAACACAGGGAGATCAGCTGGTGCTTTGTGACCGCCTGGAGGGGTGGGATAGGGAGGGTGGGAGGGAGGCAGATGCAAGAGGGAAGAGATACGGGAACATATGTATATGTATAACTGATTCACTTTGTTATAAAGCAGAAACTAACACACAATTGTAAAGCAATTATATTCCAATAAAGATGTAAAAACAATTATTTTATTATTTATAAAGTATTTTTTAAAAATATTTATTTATTTGGCTGTGTTGGGTCTTAGTTGCTGCACACGGGATCTTCGTTGCCATGTGTAGGATCTTCGTTGCGGCATGCGGGATCTTTAGTTGTGGCACGTGAACTCTTAGTTGCAGCACACAGGATCTAGTTCCCTGACCAGGGATCGAACCCAGGCCCCCTGCATTGGGAGCACGGAGTCTTAGCCACTGGACCACCAGGGAAGTCCCTATTTTATTTTTTAAATCTTTTATAATCTTTTTCTTTATTTTATTTTTTTGCTGTTGTGGTTCTGTTTTGTTTTGTTGTTTCATTTTTATTGTTATTTTTTCTAATATAATTTTTATTTTTCTAATTTTATTTTATTTTTTATTATTTGTTATTGTTCTGCTCTTCCCTGTTTGTGTTTTTTGTTTTTTTTTTTCTGCCATGCTGTACAGCTTGTGCAGGTCTTGATTCCCAGGCCAGAAGTCGGGCCTAAGCTCCTATGGTGGGAGTACAAAGTCAAAGCTGCTAGCCTAACAGAGAACTTCAGGTGCCAGGGAATATTAATTGGTGTGAGGTCTCCCGGAAGTCCTCATCTCAGCACCAAGACCTGGCTCCACCCAACTGCCTGCAAACTCCAGTGCTGGACGCCTCAGGCCAAACAAGCAGCAAGACAGGAACACAGCCCCACCTGTTACACACACACACAAAAAGGATGAGACGACAAAAAAGTATGTTACAGACGAAGGATAAAGGTAAAAACCTATAAGACCAAATAAATGAAGAGGAAATAGGCAACCTACCTGAAAGAGAATTCAGAGTAATGATAGTAAAGATGATCTAAAATCTCAGAAATAGAATGGAGGTACGGATTGAGAAAATACAAGAAATGTTTAACGAGGACCTAGAAGAAATAAAGAACAAACAGTGATGAACAACACAATAACTGAAATGAAAAATACACTAGAAGCAATCAATAGCAGAGTAACTGAGGCAGAAGGACAGATAAGTGAGCTGGAAGATAGAATGGTGGAAACAACTGCCAAGGAGCAGAATAAAGAAAAAAGAATGAAAAGAAATGAGGACCGTCTCAGAGACCTCTGGGACAACACTAAATGCACCAGCATTCGAATTATAGGGGTCCCAGAAGAATAGAAAGAGAAAGGATCTGAGAAAATATTTGAAGGGGTTGTAGTCGAAAACTTCCCTAACATGGGACAGGAAATAGCCACCCAAGTCCAGGAAACACAGAGAGTCCCATACAGGATAAACCCAAGGAGAAACACGCCGAGATACATATTAATCAAACTAACAAAAATTAAATTTAAGGAAAAAATATTAAAAGCAGCAAGGGAAAAGCAAAAACTAACATGCAAGGGAATCCCCGTAAAGTTATCAGCTGATTTTTCAGCAGAAACTCTTCAGGCCAGAAGAGAGTGGAAGGATATGTTTAAAGTAATGAAAGGGAAAAACCTACAACCAGGATTACTCTACCCAGCAAGGAGACCATTCAGATTTGATGAAGAAATCAAAAGCATTACAGACAAACAAAAGCTAAGAGAGTTCAGCACCACAAAACCAGCTTTACAACAAATGCTAAAGGAACTTCTCAAGGCAGGAAACACAAGAGAAGAAAAAGACCTACAAAAACAAACCCATAGGGCCTCCCTGGTGGCGCAGTGGTTAAGAATCCACCTGCCAATGCAAGGGACGTGGGTTCGAGCCCTGGTCTGGGAGGATCCCACATGCCAAGGAGCAACTAAGCCCGTGTGCCACAACTACTGAGCCTGCGCTCTAGAGCCCACGAGCCACAACTACTGAGTCTGTGCACCAAAACTACTGAAGCCCCATGCCCTAGAACCCATGCTCCACAACAAGAGAAGCCACCACAATGAGAAGCCCGCGCACCACAATGAAGAGTAGCCCCCGCTCGCTGCAACTAGAGAAAGCCTGCACGCAGCAACAAAGACCCAACGCAGCCAAAAATAAATACATAAAAATAAATAAATTTATTAACAAAAACAAGACACATGCACCCCAATGTTCATTGCAGCACTATTTACAATAGCCAGGGCATGGAAGCAACCACTGACAGATGCATGGATAAAGAAGATGTGGTATAGGGACTTCCCTGGTAGTCCAGTAGTTAAGACTCCATGCTCCCAATGCAGGGGGCCCAGGTTTGACCCCTGATCAGGGAACTAGAGCCCACATGCCACAACTAAGAGCCCGCATGCCGCAACTAAGACCTGGCACAGCCAAATAAATTACATAATATTCCATTGTACATATATACAATGGAATATTACTCAGCCATAAAAAGGAACATAACTGGGTCATTTGCAGAGACATGGATGGACCCAGAGCTCTGTCATACAGAGTGAAGTAAGAAAGAGAAAAACAAATATTGTATATTAACACATATATGTGGAATCTAGACAAATGGTACAGATGAACCTATTTGCAGGGCAGGAATAGGGATGCAGACATAGAGAATGGACATGTGGACACGGTGGGTGGGGGAAGGGGGCTGGGGTGAATTGGGAGATTGGGATTGACATATATGCACTACCCTGTGTAAAACAGAGAACAGGGAACCTGCTGTATAGCATAGGAAGCTCAACTCGGTGCTCTGTGGTGACCTAGATGGGTGGGATGGGCAGGAGGAGGGAGGTGCCAGAGGGAGGAGATATATGTACACATATAGCTGATTCACTTCACTGTACAGCAGAAACTAACACAACATTGTAAAGCAACTATACCCCACTTAAAAAAACAACTGCCAAGGAGCAGAATAAAGAAAAAAGAATGAAAAGAAATGAGGACCGTCTCAGAGACCTCTGGGACAACACTAAATGCACCAGCATTCGAATTATAGGGGTCCCAGAAGAATAGAAAGAGAAAGGATCTGAGAAAATATTTGAAGGGGTTGTAGTCGAAAACTTCCCTAACATGGGACAGTGGGCTTCCCTGCTGGCACAGTGGTTGAGAGTCCCCCTGCCGATGCAGGGGACATGGGTTCGTGCCCCGGTCCAGGAAGATCCCACATGCCGCAGAGCGGCTGGGCCCGTGAGCCATGGCCGCTGAGCCTGCGCGTCCGGAGCCTGTGCTCCGCAACGGGAGAGGCCACAACAGTGAGAGGCCCGCGTATCACAAAACAAACAAACAAACAAACAAAAAACCCCTTCAGTTCCAGGGTCAGTTTGTTCCCATTTCTTTTATTTATTTATAATTTTGGCTGCATTGGGTCTTTGTTGCTGCGTGTGGGCTTTCTCTAGTTGCGGCGAGCGGGGGCTAATCTTCGTTGTGGTGCGCAGGCTTCTCACTGCGGTGGCTTCTCTTGTTGAAGAGCACGGGCTCTAGGTGTGCAGGCTTCAGTAGTTGTGGCTCGCAGGCTCTAGAGTGCAGGCTCCGTAGTTGTGGCGCACAGGCTTAGTTGCTCTGCGGCATGTGGGATCTTCCCTGACCAGGGATCGAACCTGTGTTCCCTGCATTGGCAAGCAGATTCTTATCCACTGCGCCACCAAGGAAGTTCTGTTCCCATTACTTTGAGGCCAGCTTTTGGAATTGTGGCAGCTTACATCATGGCTACAGTCTGGTCATCATGTAGTTTTCTTCTTCCACCTGGTGGGGTTGTAGTGTCTAGAAGACAGCTCAAAGGATATGGCTCAGTATATTATCTATAGCCCTTGAGGGGGAGCTAAAGGCCCTTGACTTTGCTTAATGACTAAACTATTATTATTTAGTCTTGTTGGACTGTTTTCCTTTGTTTCTGCATTTTCTCAATTCTCTGATTAAACTTATTCTTTGGCCAAAGTTCTTCCACAGACAAAAGGCAGGTTGAGGATATGGGGGGCAAGGACCATAGGGGTCCTGCTCCATTTCGATTCCACACAATTTTTTTTATTTTATTTATTTATATTTTGGCTGCATTGGGTCTTCGTTGCTGCACGCGGGCTTTCTCTAGTTGCGGCGAGTTGGGGCTACTCTTTGCTGCGGTACACAGGCTTCTCACTGTGGTGTCTTCTCTTGTTGCGGAGCACGGGCTCTACGTGTGCGGGCTTCAGTAGTTGTGACTCATGGGCTCAGCAGTTGTGGCTCACGGCTCTAGAGCGCAGGCTCAGTAGTTGTGGCACACAGGCTTAGTTGCTCCACGGTATGTGGGATCTTCCCAGACCAGGGATTGAACCCATGTCCCCTGCATTGGCAGGTGGATTCTTAACCACTGCACCACCAGGGAAGTCCCGATTCCACACACTTAATCCCCAAAGACAACTTGGTCACACTTGCCACAATGGTAGCAGATTCAAAGCAGTAATCAAAATGTGTACCCTCAGAGATCTGACTCCACCTGGCAGTGGAGGACAAAAGAATATGGGCAGTGTAAGAAGATAAGCAGTAGTTATGGCCAGGTGACCATGTGCAGAAAAGAGAACTATAATAATTTCATCCTCATTTTTACACAAATATATTTGTGTACATATGAACCGATTTTTTTTCTCTTCTCTTCTCTCTCTCACTCACCGTCTATCATAATATGTGTTAATAGTGGTTATCTTTCTAGGTCGGCATGTAAGTTACAGGATACATAAGGGGGGTGTGACTCAGTTGGAAGAGGGCTGAACATCACCCAGAGGTGGATAAAGGGACTTTACGTCACCTTCTGGGAAGAGGGTAGCATGTATTTGGTTGTGTGTTGTTGGTTGAATTATGTCAGGCCGACTTTGCTCTTGGCTTTACTTGGAAGTGAAGTTAGACAGACTGGGGTGGATTTGTATTGGTCAACGTAAATTGCGCAAGGCTGAACCTAGGGTCCCAGACTCCTTTCCCCGCACAGTTCTGAGTTGGTGTGGAACACAGGGGACATTTCGCCCAGGATTTGCAGCCGTGTTCTTTTTGCACCTGGAAGGGTGATGCAGCGATTGAAGTGGTGTCCTAGTGATGTCCGCTTCCATCCCATGATCAAAGTTAACACCAGTGATGGGACCGATCAAAATGGTGCCAGCTGATGGGATGCTGTGAGGATGCAGTGTCACTTCCATGGTGCTCGAGACAGAGACGCACAGCCTGCAGCTAATTACAAGGAAACACTGGGAAAGCCAAATCGAGGGACTTTCTACCAAACAACTGATCTATATTCTTCAAAAGTATCAAGGTCATAAAGGTCAAGGAGAGACTAAGGAGTGTTCCAGAGTGAGGAAGACAGAGAGACGGGACCTCCAAAGGCAACATGTGACTCTGGACTGGACCCTTTGGCCGTAAAGAACTGGAGTGGAAGTCTCAGCTATGCCAGACAAGCAGGTTGTAGAGACCTATAGTTCACAGTTGGTACTGAGCATTGGGACTCTGTGTGAGAGGTGCCCTCACCACAAACACAAAACCAATGGGTATGAGGAAACTTGGGGGTGATGGATATGCTCATGACCTTGACTATGGTTTCACACAGGTGTTTGCACATGTCCAAACTCATCAAACTGTATACATTAAATATGCATAGTCATATATATCAATTAAACCTTGATATAGCTTTTTCTTTTTTTTTAAAGAACATCATTGGGACAACTTATGAAAGTTGAATGGGAGCTAAGGATCACGTGGTAGGGACGCATGGTGTTACTCTTCTGACTCTGACAGTTGTGCTATGTTGTGATGGTGTGTGTTATGTTGTGGTTGTGTCGTATGTATTGTGTGTTTTTGTGGTTGCGTAGGACAATGTCTTTATTCCAAGGAAACAGACACTAAGCTATTTAGGGGTGATGGAGTGTTAGTTTTGCAAATTACTCTCAAATGGTTCAGGGGGAAAGAATCCTTCCTATCCTTGCAACTGTGAAGCTTTTATTTCAAAATAAAAACTATCTTTGGCATTTGAAAATGTGTCTGGAGTGTGGTGACGGCCTTGGCTGCGTGAAGCAAGTGCTGCTGGGTTCTGATTCGGGTGGGGGTTGATGGAGGTAGGGAGATGTTTTTAAGCTGTGGGTGTTTGGGAGAATACTCCCCAGAGGGACCTCTGTGTGGCCTTGGCCATCACCCAGGGGCATCAGGCCCAGTGCTTGCAGGGACCAGTTCCAGGCCATCTGCCCCCAGCCAGCCAGGAAGGGGCATGTTCCCCACCCCAGGGTTTATTTTTAGTTTCTTTTCCAAAACCCAGGATGGCGCTTCTGGCTGGCACCTTTGGGTTGTGGGTGAGGACGGTGGCCCCTTCTAAGGAGACAGGTTTCTGCGAACAAGGAAGCAGAAGCTGCACTGATGCCTGGCCCCGCCTAGTGCCCCCAGTCTTCCCTCCTCCAGCCAGCCCGCCCCCCCCACCACACACAAACCTGCCTGGCCACCCAGCCTGCCCCAGCCTAGGCCTATAAACCCCCCACGCCCTCGCCTCCTGTTGTACAGAGGCTGGGAGTTGGCACCACGCTGCTGAATTTCAGTGGCCTTCGGGCCCTGGTGATGGGGCAGGGAAAGATGGGTGTGAGCGAGGCAGGTGGGGGTGTGTGAGGGGCCGAGGTTAGAGAGCAAGGTGGCCAGACCCAGAGCCTCACAGGCCCATGCTGCGGCCTGCAAGTCCCTTTGTGCCTGAGCCGGCTGATCTGGGCCTGGACTGCTCCCTACCACCCAGCAGGCCCCATTGGGACAGGATGCTAGCCTCTCGCTGGTCAATGCAAGAGCCCTCCTGTGAGGGAGGCCCTCAGAATCAGTCTGGACAGATGGGGGGACCCAGCCAAGGCCTCTTCCCTCAGCCCAGCAGGAAGGGGCTGCCCTCTGGGCCTCCCTTGGCCGAATCCTGGCTGGCCGGACCCCTGACCCCCGGGCCACCAACCTCTGGCCAGCACTGTCTCACTGCTCTTTCCTGAGCAGCAAACCTGCTGCCCCCACCCGCAGCCTTGGCCCAGACATATTGCGCCATCTGGCTGCCCCGTGCACCCCTGCAGGGAACGGGTGGGACACCATGAAGGCCCTGCACGCCTCAGGAGCCAGAGTGGTGGCTGTGAGCCATACCAATGCCGACCTGGTCAGCCTCTCCAAGGAGATGAGGTGTGCAGCCCCACCATGGGCCAGGCCTGTGACCCTCCGGGATGCCTCACCAGCCTGCCAGGATGCCCCCTTTGGTCACTGGCCAATGCCTTCCCACAGGGCCCCGGGGTAGAGCCTGTGTGCGTGGACCTGGGTGACTGGGAGGCCATGGAGCAGGCGCTGTGCAACGTGGGCCCTGTGGACGTGCTGGTGAACATTGTCGCCATGGCGCTGCTGCAGCCCTTCCTGGAGACCACCAAGGAGGCCTTCGACAGCTGAGGAGTAGGAGAGGAGGTGGACTGGGGAGAGGGCTGCTGAGGAAGTGGACCGGGTGTGGCCATGGTGTGTCTGACTGTCCCCTCTCCCTCCAGGTCCTTCAGTGTGAAACTGCACTGTGTTCCGAGTGTCTCAGGTGAGCCAGTGGGAGGATGTGGCCCAGTGCAGACATGGCCCAAGCGGGGGTGCGGTGGGGTCAGGGTGCCCTCTCTCTTGGCTTACAGATTGTGGCCCGGGGCATGATCAGCTACGGAGTCCCTGGCTCCAGCGTGAATGTCTCCAGCATGGCGGCCCATGTCACCCTTCCCAACCTAGCTGCCTACGGTGAGTCCCTCTGCCCAAACTTGAGCCCCCATTCCATGCAGGAGCAGCTGAGCTCCCGGGCTGGGCCTCATGCAAAGTGGGCTGAATCCTTAAGGGTCCTCAGTGCTGCCCTTTTCCCACAGGCTCCACCAAGGGTGCAATGACCATCCTGACCAAAGCCATGGCCATGGAGCTGGGGCCGCACAAGGTAGGCATGGGGGAGCTGGGGGTGCCAGGGGCCCCGGCCTGGGAAGGCACGAGGTAGGCGCAGGGTGGGGGTGAGGTGGAGGCTGGCGGGTGGTGGGCAAGCGGCGGCTGGGGATGAAAACGGGGGCAGGGGGCGCCAGGGGGTGAGTAAGCAAGCTCAGTGGGGTCTGTGAGGGCGGGGTTTGTGCGCCGGCTGAGACCGCCCCGCCGGCCCCTCGGCCCCAGATCCGGGTGAACTCGGTAAACCCCACGGTGGTGCTTACCGCCATGGGCCAGGAAGCCTCGTCTGACCCCCAGTTCGCCCGGAAGCTAAAGGAGCGCCACCCGCTGAGGCAGTTTGCAGGTCAGCTGGGCTTCGTGGAGTGGCGGGCGCGGCTGGGGCGGCCGGGCCCAGACAGCCGGGCCGAGCCGTGCTGACCCCGCCCGCCACCCGCCGCAGAGGCGGAAGACGTGGTCAACAGCATCCTCTTCCTGCTCAGCGACCGCAGCGTCTCCACCAGCGGCTCGGGAATCTTTGTGGATGCCGGGTACCTGGCCTCCTAAGAGCGCGGTGCTCTGGGCGGCCAGAAGGATGGTGCTCGGCTCCGCCCGGCCCCGCTTCCACGCCCCACCGCCCCGCCTCCAGACCGCCAAGGCCACCAGCCCACCACGCCCCTGGCCCCATCTACGCCCACGCCCCGGCCTACTGCCCCCGCCCCGCGGCTTGGCCCCACCTCCACGCCACGCCGCGGCTCCGCCCCACCATCCCATCCCGCATCCACACTCACGTGCCAGGAGACCCCGCCCCTGTCGTCCCCACCCACTGTGTCCTCAGCTGTGCTGGAGTGGATTTGCCTAATTAAATGGAGGCCTTTCTCCTGCAGCTAGCCGTGCCAGGGCTCTGGCTGGGCATGAAGGGAGGCTGGGGAGGGGAGGATCAGGGTCTGGGGGGCACCGGTTAACCTTCGAAGAAGTAAAGAGAGGGCAGATCCGAAGCCTGCCGGATTCCACCGCTGACCCTGCCTTTGAGCTGAAGGGCCGAGATTCCTTGCAAGAAGATTCCTCGTGTCCACGCCCTTACCGCAACACCCAACCTTCTCTGGGCGGAGGGCAGAGGGCAGCGTGCAGCCACCTTTCCTTCCCTGAGGCTCTGGCTCCGCCCTTCAGCCCAGCATGCCCCCCACCCCGCCCCCACTACCGCCGGCCAGAGAGGGTAGAGGGTCTGAGGAGCTGCGGGGAGATGCTCTGGACCATAGGCTATCCCTAGGGAAGATGGGACTGAGCGCTCAGCGCCCGGCGTGAGGGGCGGGGTGCTGGACCATTATAGCTTATCCAACCCTGAGCAACCAGCTCCGCCTTGGGGCACACCTTCCCCCACAAGACCACCCATGAGAGGGCAGCCCCTGCTGGGGAAGGGTCCACAGCTGCTGCTCTACCTACTGTCCCTGGCCTGACTCCAGACAAAACAGCCCTGCAGCTGGGGCAGCTAGAGGGTTTTGCAGGCCCTGTTGGGATTCAGCTGTGCTTACCTGGGTCAGGTTCCACATGACACATGCCTTCTGAGTGTGGGTGTGATGAGGCCTGAGGTGGTCAGTCAGCTGGACTGGTGCGGTGTCCAACTCTGGGCAAGGGGGCAAGGTATGAGGGGCTGGGGTGGGGCCCTCCAGGCAATGGTACCACTGGGCTGAGAGAGCAAAGGGCACGTTGCAGGGATGGGGAGTGCTGAGGGCACTTCTAGCCAGCCTCAGGGCCTCCCAGAGCAACGTTTGTGCCAAAGCAGGCTTGGCTCAGTCCAGCTGGTCCACCGAGGATCACGGGGCAAGTGAAAGGATTTGGACACCATTCTGGGGGCCAGGTAAAGACAGTGAAGGGACCTAAGCAGATGTCCCTTTCAGGAAGGACAGGCTGGGGGCTGTTCCCCGCCTCCCCTTGGCTTCTGGCAGGCAGACGGCAGGGTCCAAGGTTAGCAGCAGAAGGCAGAGTTTGCCCAGTGCCTAGAGGGTGTTGGCTGCACCACAGTGCCAGATCTGGTAGGGAGGACTCACTTGGCTATCCTCCAGGGGCTTCTCAAACCTGTGCCTCCTGCTGTCCCCAGCCACCCTCTCCTCCAGACTGTCCACCTCTCTGGGCCCAAAGCCACAGTGACCCAGAGGCCCTGCAATCACCACTTCCTTACTCCTGTCCACAGAAGGTCCTCAAGGGCAGTGTTTCTAGACTTTCCCACCATGACCCACAGAACAAAGTAGCTTTTACAGGAGGAGCCAATGGCACACATGGACACGTAAGCACACATATATCTCTGACCCTAAAGCTGCAGGAAGCAATGCTTGCCCTTGCTGGCCACTGGGTACCCCATGACCCTAAGCCTATCCCTTCCCATCCTATCCAAGTTTTTAAAGTCCTCGTGGCCTTCTGTGGGTTGGTGGGGTGAGTCAGCGTTTCAACTCCCTTTGAGGCTAAAGCACACCTTTGCTGGCCTTGGTCTCTTCTTCAGGCTTATTGGGTTGTCCAAACCCTTTCCCTCTAAGCACAAGTGAGCCTGCGTGAGCTACTCCCAGGTCTGGGGGAGGGGAGCATGTGATCCTTTTTGCCAAACTTTTCTTCTCAGAAACAAAAGAAAAAAATGTTGGGCTTCCCTGGTGGCGCAGTGGTTGAGAGTCCGCCTGCCGATACAGGGGACACAGGTTCGTGCCCCGGTCCAGGAGGATCCCACATGCCGCGGAGTGGTTGGGCCCGTGAGCCATGGCCGCTGAGCCTGCACGTCCAGAGCCTGTGCTCCGCAACGGGAGAGGCCACAACAGTGAGAGGCCCGCGTACCGCAAAAAAAAAAAAAAAAAAAAAGCCCTGACTGAGATCTCTTTCACGTACAGCTACGTATAATTACGTATTAATTTCACGTATTAATTACCACATCTGTTTTTTTGTAATAATCATCTTGGCAGGGGAAATGCTAGCGGGGCCCGCTAAACCTATTTCACTCTGGTTCGAAGGGTCACAACAGGGCAGTTTGAAAAACCCCGCCCAAGAGTCCAGCGGGGACCCAGCCTGCCCCGCCCCGGCCTCGCCCACTCCTTTCGGCCAATCGCCCCCGCGGGGAAGCCTCTATTTGAATATTCCCTCCCTCCCCAGGACACCGCCCTGCAATTGGCCCGCCGCGTCCCGCCCCGCCCCGTGCCCTCCCGGACAGTCGCGCGCAGCTGGACCCAGGCACGCAGTTGGGTCTCAGCAGTGCACAGGGTCGGTCCGAGCCTCATGGAGCTGAGCCTAGCGGGGCGCCGGGCGCTCGTCACTGGGGCGGGCAAAGGTGGGCCCGGGGCGGCGGCCAAAGGTGGGCCTGGGAGGGGGTGGCCGGGGAGGGGCGCCCGCACTGAGCCGCGCTCCTCGCAGGCATCGGGCGCAGCACTGTCCAGGCGCTGCACGCGGCGGGTGCACAAGTGGTGGCTGTGAGCCGGACCCAGGCCGACCTGGACAGCCTGGTCCGCGAGGTAGGCGTCGCCTTGTCCCAGCCCAGCGGGCGGCGGGCGAGGCTGAGGGCGGGCCGGGACACGCGGCCGCCGGGCGCTAGGGATCGCCAAGGACTCTTGCACACCCTCCCCCACGCCGGGCGCACGGCCTCTGTTGGGGGCCGACGGGTTGGGAGAACGACGACTCCCCCTGGGCTTAGGAGCAGGCAGAAATGGCTGCCTTGCAGGCCCGGGGCCAGACGCGTTCGGGCGCTGGGAGGAAATAGACTGGCCGGAGGCGGGGCCAGGCTCCCGTTCCCGAAGCCCCGAGTTGCCCAGTGGCCCAGAGGCCGAGTTAACTACCCTCCACCTGCAGCAGCCTGGGATTCTGAGCCCCAAGAAGGTGACTGGCTCCTCTGGAACCCCTAACCCCTCCCCCTGTCTAACTGAAAGGCCATGCAAACCCAGCCCTTCTCCCTCGCATGCCAGAGGCCCAGATGTACCCTTCCTTGGGCATGGATCCTCTGGTAGATGTGCCCCCTTACCACCTAATACACACAGTGCCCAGGGGTAGAGCCTGTGTGTGTGGACCTGGGTGACTGGGAGGCCACGGAGCGAGCGCTGGGCGGCGTGGGCCCTGTGGACCTGCTGGTGAACAATGCTGCCGTGGCGCTGCTGCAGCCCTTCCTGGAGGTCACCAAGGAGGCGTGTGACACGTGAGCCAGGGTGGGGTGGAGGAACTCCCGGGGGGAAGGGCTGTCTCCTGCTGCAGCAGTCCCAGTCCCTGACCACGGTCTATCCATCTACTTCCAGGTCTTTTGACGTGAACCTTCGGGCTGTCATCCAGGTGTCCCAGGTGAGCTGCCTTCAGAGCCGGAGTGGGAACTGGGGGGTGACACCAGTTCTGCCTCATGCTTCCTCTGCAATTCCAGATCGTGGCCCGAGGCTTAATAGCTCGGGGAGCCCCGGGGTCCATCGTGAATGTCTCTAGCCAGGCCTCCCAGCGCGCACTGACTAACCACAGCGTCTACTGTGAGCAAGCCCCGGCTGTGCCCTGCCCCTCACCCCCCACCCCCCAGCCTGAGCAGCCAGCTTAGGCTCCACACAGGCTGTCTCTCCTCACAGGCTCCACCAAGGGTGCCTTGGACATGCTGACCAAGGTAATGGCTCTGGAGCTTGGGCCACACCAGGTGAGCCCCACTGGGATGCCTTCCCATCACCCAGCCCACGTGCCCAGAGAGCCTCAGCCCACCCAGCTGACCCCCTTCTTGTTCCAGTACAGATCCGTGTGAATGCACTCAACCCCACAGTGGTGATGACACCCATGGGCCAGGCCAACTGGAGCGACCCCCAGAAGGCCAAGACCATGCTGGATCGCATCCCACTTGGCAAGTTTGCCGGTGAGTCAGGCGGGAGCCCAGCTGGGAGTTGCATCAGTGGCTTGCTCAGGTGAGGGGTGGGAGGGAAGGATGAAGGGCAGCTCATTTCAACCACATCCTGAACCCCACCCCGCCCACAGAGGTGGAGAACGTGGTAGACACCATCCTCTTCCTGCTGAGTGACCGCAGCAGCATGACCACGGGCTCCACTGTGCCGGTGGATGGAGGCTTCCTGGCTACCTGAGCCCCTCCACCCACACACACACATGTTCCATGCTGAGCCCACTTTTACCCCCACCCCCCTTCCCCATCCCTCCAATAAACATGATTCTTCTGCCCAGCCTGCACACTCATTCCTAGGCTGCAGTCAAGTGGCTGGAAGATGTAGCGCTCAGGGCTGGGTGTGGGGATGAGTCCCAGGTAGAGGCAACCATTCAACTTACATCCTGGGCCAGTGGCAGCCTGTCCCTCCTGTGAGAGATTTTCAGGCCCGGCTAAGTCCCTGGCAGGACTGGGAGGTAGAATCTTCCAGAAGGCCAGCTCCTAATGAGAGTGGTGAATTTGACCGAGGATGGCCTTTGGCCCTGTCCAGAGGTCTCTGGTATGGAAGCAGTGGTGTTTTTAACATGAGTGTTGGTTGGCATTCCTGAAGTCCATGCATAAGACAAACGTGAACTGAGGATGCTGTGTGTTGGGATTTCATTACTTTGTTGATGACTTGAGCGACTTCTTTGCTGAATCAGATGACGGTTTTCAATTTTCATTCCCTCAGCTTTGTGAGTTATTCACCACGTACTGAGCACAAGCTCCAGCTGTAGGATTTGCCAACTTCTATGGTAAAATACTCCCGCCTGTTTACTGTCCTTGAGGTGGAGCTGGGGAGAGATGCGTGTCCCCCACCACACAGATACAAAAGCCTTACACCCGATAGCACAGATAATAGTAATATGTACAAAAATATTTAGGAAGTGATGTGTTTTGAGTATTTGTTAATTTCATTTTTTTTAATACAACTAATGTAAGTTTATATAATTATTAACAATAGCTGTTTAAAAACTGGCTAGCAAAATTCCTGAAATTCAGCAGTCCACCCTCTACACACCATTGCGGGGGTGCAGTGTGGCTTCTCATCACACCAGAGTAGTGCCTTGCGGCCTCAGGGGTGAAGTCCTAGCTCCAGGCCAGGCCCGCCCCTCACCTCCCGCCTTTGTCTGCCCAGCGATGCCAGGCTGTTGGCTCACCTGCAACCCCGCCTGTCCTCTCCACACCACGTTTGTTCTACCTCCACGGCTGCAGGGTCCCTCTGCCTGGACGTCCTTCCTCTTGACGGTCTGTCTTCCTGAACACTCAGCTAGTGTCCCCTGGCCTTGCCCTGGGCTCCACAGGGCCCCATGGGGCCTGACTTGCAGACCATCCTGCCCCTTGCTCGCCTGGCTGTGCCCTCCCAGAGGCCTGAAGTCAGCGTGAGAAGGGCTTTCTTCATCCAGAAGGGACCAAATGCACTTGCCCCCATTTTGATCTGGGTCCCTCCTTTGGAGACCGAGAGGGCTCAGCAAGCTTTTCCTCCTCTCCTCTGGTGCGCGCGCGCGTGTGTGTGTGTGTGTGTGTGTGTGTGTGTGTGTGAAGCTCACCCGCTCTGTACCCGTGGATGGTGGGGGTTGGGGGCCTGGCACCCTCAGGGTGCAGGAGCAGGCAGGGGGAGACAGGAGCAGGGCAGGTAGCAAGACAGCAGGAGATGATGAAGAAGGTTTATTGTATAAAATAAAAAGGGGCTGCCCCATCCTGGGGCACAAGGACAGAACCCACCCCACAAACTCCCCCATCAGGGAAGCCCATCCTGGGGCTGCCCTGGACCTGCCCCTGCAGCCTGAGGGAGACCCTGCTCCCTTCCGGACTCCCTGGGGGCCAGGGAAGGCTGGAGCTGTACCCCCAGGTAGAGGAGGCAGAGTGGACAGGACCCCATGGCCCCAGCACCACCCCAGGAGCAGCAGCCTCGTCCCCGTGATTCTTCCCCCTCCCCACCCACAAAACTTCCCCACAGCAGACTCGGGGACACCAGACATCTCAACACAACAGATACAGGCGCGGGCGGCTGGAGGCTGCTCCTCCAGAAGTGAGGGCTCTAGAAGACCGTGCACTTCTTCCCCGGCTTCTTCACAGGAGGCGGGCAGAGCACAGCCCGGATGGCCTCATCAAACACAGTCTTCAGGCCCCGCTGGGTCAGGGCTGAGCACTCCAGGTACTTGACAGAGCCTGGGGGCAGCAAAGAAAGAGAAGAGTGAGGGTGGCAGGCAGCACAGGCAGGCAGCGGGGGGCAGCACAGGTGGGCAGCGGGGGGCAGCACTGTGCCCCCCAGAGCAAACCTCTCCTCCCTGCACCGGCAGGCCTGTCCGTGCCCACTCACCGATCTCCCGGGCCATGGCCAGGCCCTGGGGGTAAGTGATGGGCGCTAGCTTCTTATCCCGTAGCCGCTCGATGGTGTCCTTATCGTCACGAAGGTCCAGCTTGGTGCCCACCAGGAGGATGGGCGTGTGGGGGCAGTGGTGCCGAACCTCTGGGTACCACTGTGGGGATGAGAGGCTCTGATCCCTACCCCTCGAGAGCTTTGCCCTCAGCCTGGCCCAGAGCAGGCCATGGCTCCCAAAGGCCCCTTCCTTGTGCCTAGACCCACACTTAGCCCTTCTTGTTTCACGGGGCGACCACTGGGTCTGGTAGGGGAATGACCAAGAACAAAAATACCTAGCCAAGACGCTTCCAGGCCCATCAGGTCCTCTCAGTCAGGGCCCTTCCTTCTCTGAGAGCCTCACTCACCACCCCTACCCCACCCCTGGCCCCTCATCACCCTCTGGGCCATGAGACCTCACACCCGGCAATCTCCAAAGGACAATATGTCTCTGTAAGGCCCTCAAGCAAGAGACCCCTGCCCTCTAAGGGCAAGTCCTCTGGGCAGCTTCCTCCCCTCCCAGAAACACAACTCTGCTTCTGGCCCTTTCCTACCTTGGCTCGAACATTCTCAAAGGAGGCTGGGCTCACCAGGGAGAAGCAGATCAGAAAGACGTCCTTGGGAGAAAGGGAGAGAAGAAGGGAAGAAGAGAGGGTACCATGTAGGAATGGTCAAAGAGGCTCCGAATGGCCTCTGCTCACCCCCCCAACACACACACACACACACACACGCATGCACGCACACCAGGCCTTCTGGGCCTCCACCCGAGCCACCCGGCCCCTGCAGGCAGCCCTGTGGTCCCCTACAGTTTGGGGGTAGGAGAGTGGCCGAAGCCGGTCGTAGTCCTCCTGCCCAGCGGTGTCCCACAGCCCCAGGTTGACAGGCTTCCCGTCCACCATCACATTCGCAGAATAGTTGTCAAAACTGCAGGAAACAAAGTGAGAGAGATTCCCCCCCGTGTCTGGGTTCTCAGGCCTGCACAGACCTGGAGCTCTGTCAGCACCTCGCCTCACCCCGGAACCCAGACCAGGGCTACTTGGGCCCGACCTCGAAGCCCAGGGGAGCCCCGCACACAGGCGTCCATACCCTCCCCTTGCCAGCTCTGGACCCGCCCGCCTGCTCACACGGTGGGGATGTACTCTCCAGGGAAGGCGTTGGTCGTGTAACTGATCAGCAGGCAGGTCTTCCCCACGGCGCTGCGGAGAGAGGGCAAGTCCACGCTGCTCCCAGACCCACCTCAGCCCTCTGCCCAGCGAGGGCAGCCCCTCCCACGGTGCCCAGGGTGGGAACAGGGTTGTCTGCCCAGCAGATCCGCAGCGATAGAGGACCAGGGCAGGAGGGCCTCCGGGGTGGCAGAGTGGTGGGTGAGGGCTGGAGCGAGCTGCCTCAGAGCCCCAGGCAGGTGCCGGGAAGGTGGCACCGGCTGAGGGTTAAGCCCAGGTGAGAGGCCTGGCCCCACCCACCGGGAGGCCAGGAGGGGCCGCTGGCTGCCGGCAGCATCAGGTGGGCCTGGGCTGGAGGCCTGCGCCCCGCGACCAGCCGGGACCCCGCCCCACCAAGTCCTCCCGCCGCTGCCCGGTCCCCCAACGCCCACGGGCCGGTCGGGGCCGCCCCGCCTGGACCCCAAGCCGGGATCCCCGGACCGCACGCCGCACCCTCCGTCCCGGCCGCGCCCCGGAGCCCCGCGCCCTGCCCAGGAGGGTCCCCGGGGCCAACCCCTCCCGGCGCGCCTGGCGCGCCAGGCCGAGCGGCCTCCGCCTCGCGCACTCACCCGTCGCCGACCACCACGCACTTGATGGCCTGCATGGGCGCGGGCCGGGCGGGCGCGGCCGCGAGCCGAGCTGCGGAGAAATGCCCGGCGCCGCAGCGGCCGCGGACCCGAGCCGAGCGCCGAGCCGAGCGGCCGGAGACAGCCGAGCGCCGCCGAGCGCCGGGCGCGGAGACAGCCGAACGCGGCCGGCATGGAGGGCGGGGGGCGCGGACCCGCCCCGAACCCGGGCCGACGCGCCTTCCAGAGAAATCTGGTGGGGGGCGGGGTCACAGGGCACCCCGCAATCCGTGTCGAGCTTGGGCAGGCCCTCCCCAGAGCCCCTGTGACCCACGCCAAGGGGCGAGGGCAGCGCAGACAGGCTGCTCCCACCCACCTGAACAGGTTGTGGTCGGTGCACACAAGGTTTCTTCTAGGGAGAGGATTCCCCGGGCCCACCGAGGGAGGGGCTGAGGCCCACCCACCCTCTAACCACGAGACAGCTGGTGAAAACTCAGGTGTTTGCAGTCACTAGAGATCCACGAGGCAGGCAGCCCCCTGCCGAGCTGCCCCCATCCCCACCTGTCTGCTGCAGTAGCTGGACCAATCCCTACCTGGTAGCAGTTAGAAGGGTGACCCAGCCACACCTGGAGGGCCTTTCCTGAAGGGCCCAAGCTTGGAGAAAAGACTGATACTGGATAAAGGCACTGGGGCCAAAATGTATCACAAATTGCAAAAGTCTGTATTTCAGAACACCCTGGAGTGAGCGCTGGGGCCTGCGGAGCTCATGGTTGTGAAAGGTGACTGAACTGTGGTGGGTGGGGCCAGGAGAGCTCGGGCCTGCTCCCCCAGATCTCCTTCCAACATGGGTCTGTGTTCTCAGGCGCATCATTCCTTGTGATTGGGATGAAGGAGTGGGGATGGGGCTGGGGCCCTCTCCAGCCCCCTTGGCCAGCGAGGTTCTGGACCCCCCGCAGGTGGGCACTCTGGTGGTAAGCTGCAGCCGTCCTGCTCTCACATCCATCTCACATCCAGCACTGATTTTCCAAGTCACCGGCTGTAGACCCTGCCTAAAGAGCCCGGACCTACCCATGGCCTGTCCCTTGTAAAGAAGGGAGAGGCAGGCATGAGACAAAGATGTCCAACAGATGCCACCTTCCTGCCACTTTCAGACTTTCCCTGCCTCCCCTCACTTTTGGGGGCTCAAGGTCCTCAGGGGGGACCCCTGCACATAAGCCAGAACAGCATTTTGCAGGAAGCTGGCCCTTTGGGCCTCCTCATCCCGGATCCGGGCAATCTCGGCCTGCTTCAGGCGAAGCTTTTCACGGAGAGAGGCATTCTCGCTCTCCCTGTCCAGCAGTGCCTCCCGGTGGTCACTTGCGATCACTGCGAGGGAGGAAGCTCAGTGAGGAAGGGGCTCTGGGGACTGCCTGGGCTCCTGCCAACCCAGAGGTCCGCAGGGGGCCGGCAGGGTGGGGTTCGCTCGGGGTCCCCTGGGCACACACATACCCAGCCTCCCCTACCAGCACCTCCTGGAGCTGAGACCTAGGCCAAGCTCAGCTCTCCAGGCCAGCCTCCTCCTCCTCCTGTGGGATGACCCAGTAAGGAAGGCCCTGCAGAGAAGCCACAGGGGGGCGGGGGTGGCGCTCAGCTCGCCTTTCAGCTGGCGTTCCAGGGCCGCTGCCTTCTCCTTCAGCGCTTCCTGGGCTGTCAGCTCGGCTTGCAGGCGGCCGTTCTGCTCCTGCAGCTCCAGCCGCACCCTTGTCACCTCAGCTGCCTTTTCTTGGTCCTTGTTGCTCAGCTCCTGCCAGGCAAGGAGGTGGGGGGGGGTGAGGTGGCAGCTGGGGGCAACAGGGGCACCCCTGGGAGCCCTCGATGTCCCGGCTACCTGCTGCAGCTCCTCCAGGCGCCGCCTCAGGCCCTCCACCTGCCGGCCAAGCTGGCTGGCCCGCGCCTGGGCATCGGCTACCACCTGCTTCTGCTGCAGGCAGGCGCTTTGAGCCTCGTCCCGAGCCTGCGCCAGCAGCCGCAGCTTCTCCTCCAGGTGAGCCAGGCGCTGCTGCTGCAGGCCCAGGAGAGGGGCTGGTGAGCTGCTTTCTGGCCTGTGGCCCTGAGCTCACGAGAGGAGTGAACCCCCCAGCCCCACCTTCAGACAAAGAGGAGCGTATGTTTGCAATGTGGAAACTGCCTTGTCACTAAAGTTATAGCATATGTTGCTCCGAATGGGCTCAACTTGAATGAGGAGCCTCCCCCATGTCCCAGGCTGACACCATCCTGCCCTCTGGCCTCTGGTCCCCTACTTCCACCATGTGGTCACAGGCTGCACATTTGGGCCAAACTCCTTCCCCACCTTGGGGCTGGAGGACATTGGCTCTTTGCGTGGGCGTGGGGGGGGCTGGATATGGTGCTGATGGGATGAGTGTCCTCGTCTAAGTTTTCTGCACCCCTGGACCTCCTGTTCCCTTGTCCCTCCCTACAGAGTCAGAAGACAGCCTTGGTCTGGCCCACTTAAGCCCAAAGGGCTGTGCAACCCAGGCAGCTCATGCCAACCCCTCAGACCTCTCTCCCCAGTGGGCGCTGCAAGCAGCGGACCGTGGCCCTGGGCTCACCTCCTCCAGGCGGACTTGGTTCTTGGCCTTGATGAGCTCCTCCTCAGCTTGGCTGCGCTCACTGAGTGCCGCGGCCTTTGCCCGGCTCAGCTCCTACACCACAGACAGTGACCACTGGGCCTGCCCTCTGCCCCTGCCCAGGGACCCCTTCTGGCCACACCCAGCCTCCCTAGGGGAGAGCAGAGCCTGGCGCCCAGCTCACCTCCTCCAGGGACAGCCGCACAGCCTCCAGCCTCTGTACCCTCTCCTGCATGGCCCTCTCGCTCTCCTCCAGGTGGCGAGTCATGTGCTCCACCTGCCCAGGTGTGGGGTGGGGACAGGGCTGGCACGCTGGCTCCCCAGCCTTCCCCTCTGGGACCCCCACCCTGGGGGCAGGTGAATCTTGGGGACTCTGTTACTTCCGAGTGAGGGCTGCCCCAAGTGACCTCACAGGAAGTGAGGATGGACGGCACGTCCCAGTGCTGCACCCCAGGTGGCACAGAGCACATGGCAGCCTGCGCTGTGGCCCCAGCAGTCAGGGTCCCTTCTAGAAACTGGTGGGGAGATTCTGGGTCTGACATCTACCAGGGCTGTTGGAGAAATGCCACCAGCACCCCAAGGTTGTCGAGGGAAGCCTGGCCAGGAGTGCGCCTTGGGGACACCATGCCACACCGAGGTGTCTGCAGGCCCCGATGAAGCAGAGAGAGCAAAGGCCAGACGACACAACTAATGAGGCACCTCCTTGAAGCGCAGGTGTTCCGCGTCCTCCAAGCTCTGCCGGGACCTCTTCTTCTCCAGTTCCAGGCGTTCTGGAAGCACAGGGGAAGAGCGTGGGTAGGACTCCTCTGGGGGCCTTGGTTCTCAGGACCCAGTGGCAGGCCTGTGTGTGCCCACCTTCAGCCTGGACAGCCCGCATCTTCAGCTCAGCTGCCGTGTTGGTCAGCTCCTGCCTGGTCAGGAATAGCTGATCCTGCTGAGATTTCACTTTCCGCTCCAACTCGTCCACCTGGAAAACCGGCACTGAGGGAGGGAAGCTTTGGCCCCTTCCCTGAAGCCCTGCCCCAGGCCTTCCAGGGACCTGCCCCCACACCCTGCCCCCACACCTGGTTTTGCAAAAGCAAGTTCTTTTCATTGGCAGCAGACAAGTCTCTGAGGAGCTTAGACTCCCGCTCTGCAGCTTCCTGGGGGTCAGATGGGGAAAGGGCACCACTGGACACCTGCCACCACGCACCGCCTGCCTACCCCACACCCAACCACCTGCCCATCCAGCCGTCCCTGCCCACCTGCTGCTCCAGCCTGTGCTCCTTTGCCTGCCTCTGTGCCAGGCTCCGCTGTTCCTGCTCTGTGGTGGCCAGGAGCTCCCCCAAGTCCTGGGCCTTCTGCTCTGACAGAGCCAGGGCGGCCTCAGTCATCTGCAGCCTGCAAGGAGGGAAGGGCTAGCCCCACCCCATCCCTCCTCTAGACTCTGCTAAGTCCTTGCTGTTCTCACTCTTGTCAGACTATTACCCCAGCTAGCGCCCACCTCCTCCAAGAAGCGTTCCCAGGTTACCATCCCAGCGGTCCCTCCACCTCCTTTGTACGCTGGGGACTCGAGTCCTTGTCTGGACAGTCCTCCTCTGCCCTGTGGGCAGGTCTCTAAAGTGTTTTGAAGCCTCCGCACAACCCCGTCCTACTCTCTGCTCCTCCTTACTTGGCGTCCTACCCTCTGCTCCTCCTTACTTGGCCTTGAGAGCGTTGATGATGGAATGCCTCTCGTTCAGGGCTTCCTGAAGCTGCCCCACGCGTGCTGCCGACGCCCTGTGGGCACAGACGAGGGTTCAAGAGACCCAAACCCTGGCGCCCTCTGGGCCCCTCCCTGCGGCAGCTGCTGCTCCTCACACTCACGCCACCTCCAGGTGTGGGCTGAGGAAGTCGCGGTGCAGCCTCTAACCCTCCAGCCAACTCCCTCAGTAAACACACCCCACAACCTTGTTCACGGGCAGGCGACGAGGCTCACGTCAGGTCACTCCAAGGCCAGAGTGAGGACCCGAAGCCCGGGTACCCCCAGCGCACCACCTCCCTGCCCCCTGGCCCTGGGGCCACACTCACTTGCTGCTCCTGACCATCTCTTCTCTCTGTCTGTCGATCGTCTCCATCAAGTCCAGAAACTGGGGACAGAGCCAGCCAGAGCCCGGTCAGGGCCCAGAGCCCGCCCACTCCCCACCGTCAGCGGACAGGAGGGCAGACATCCACTGAGGCGGCAGGACACGAAAGGGCTCAGCCTCATCCAAAGGGAGAGTGGCTCCCACGCAGGGAGGCCCAGAGGGGAAGCCCACCTACCCGCCCACGCAGCCAGAGGGCATCAGAACAAGAGGCTGCCTCCCAGGCCTGGCTACTGGCTGCTTGGAGAGGCTCCAGGGCCCAGAAGGAAGGAACAAGGCCATGGCACGGGGGCTGAGGGGGGCCCTTTGTCCATACAGCCAGGGCGGGGCTGGGGTCGGGGCGCGGCCCTGCAGTCAGAGGCAGCACTGTCCTCACCTGTTTGGACTTCTCTTCCCGGAGGTGCCGCACCTCCTTGCTGAGCACGTGGGCGCGGGCCTGGCTTTCCCGGAAGGCGGTCTGCCGGTCCTGGTTGTGATCCATGGCTTGCTCTGTTGGAAAGAGCCAAGTTGTCTACCGGGAGGCCGAGCCCCAGGAGTGGCCAACGGCCAGCCCAGCCCCATGCCCAGAAGACACTGCACGAGGTGGTATCTCACCCCACAAATCAGACCCCTCAGTGCACTAGCAAGTGAGGGGCTCAGAGGGGGCGGGGGTAGGGACAACAGTGAAGCCAGGAGCCTGGGAGGGGGAACAGGCACACGGGGAGAGGTGGGGAGGCTGCTCAACTGCCAGAAAAGGTGGGCATTTGGGCTCCGCCCCAAAGGCCAAAGGCCAGCGTGTGACGTTTAAGAGGTGAATGGTGTGCTCAGCTCCCATGCTCTGGAAAGGTCCAGGCAGCATTTGGAGAGAGGCCAGCCCGAAGTGGCCACAGTGCCAACTGGCGTGACTCAGAGGCAGGCCCAAGAACCAAGAAGTGGGAGAGGACATGCGTTGGGCAGACCCAGCAGGTGGTGATGCCACACTAGATTGCAACCCAGGCTCGGGCCCTTGGGTGGCTGGCGCTGCCGGTGGGACAACGAGCCATGGGGAGTGGCAGAGTGCTCAGTGGGCTTGGGGCTGAGGAGTCAGGGTCATGACAGGCGGAGACCGTGGTGCGAGGAGGGTGAGGCGCAGCACCAGGCAGTCGGCACTCTGCAGGCTCCTGCCGCTGCCTTTTCTTCCCTGGAGCCTGCTCTCACTTCCTCTGTTTTTAACATGCTACCATCGTGATGCCGTGTTTACTTGTTCTGGCCCAAGTCACCCCTCCCTCAGTGGCTGAGTCTCTGACACAGGGAATCAGCTCTATGTCCTGCTTCAAACAGTGCAAGCCACCAGCGGCTCCATGTGCCCGTACCCACGGCTCTGAGGATGTCACCGGGGATGCTGTTCCCAGCCAGCTCCAGCTTCCACAGGGTTCTGTTGCTGGGGAGACAGTTTACCAGGGCGCGGCCCCCCAGGAGGCCGATGTGATTCCAGCGCAGGTCTGGAGGGAAATCTGGTGTTGCCAGATGGAAAGCACGGGGCGGGGGTGGGAGGGCTGGCCCAGCCTGGAATACTGGTACTCCCTGCGATCGGCCACAGATCAGGAGCCCAGCTCAGCGTGCCCCTCCTCTCCCACCCCCACCCTTCTGGGAGAGGACAAAGGAAGCAGTGGGAGGGCTGAGGAAGCGATGAGATGCAACCCCTCCCCCTTCCCCCCCAGACCAAGACCTCCTGGCCCGGTCTGAGGACGAAGAGGCCAGTGCTGGCGGCCTCACCAAGCTGCTGGAGGCTGGTGTTGCTCTTCAGGGCCAGAGCCAGCTCCTCGGCACCCTTGTGGCTGATCTGGTTGTTGCGGAGGTCCAGCTGCCGCAGGGCGCCATTGGCTGCCAGGGCCCCGCAGAAGGCCGCGAAGGCTTCTTCCCACGTGCCCAGGCTGTTCCACTCCAGGGTTAGGCTGCAGGAAGGGTGGACGTGAGGTGCGTGGCCCCGAAGGCTCCCATCCTGCTCCCATGGGGTCCAGCGGGCTTGAGGAGGGGCACAGGCTTGGGTGTCTCTGGCAGAAAGGCTGGAGGCGCATGAGTAACTCATACCCGCCTACTCCCCACCACGGAAGACCGGCATGAAGGCGTGAACTCTCATGTTGCAGAACCGTGTCCGCTGGAGCCAACCCAGAACCACGCAGAGAGAGAGCGGGGGCTCGGGGGAGAGCAGGGGCTGGGACCGCCACCCTACCTCTGAATGGACTTGTTCTGTCGGAGGAGTTTTGCCAGTGCCTCTGCCCCTGAGGCGCGAAGGTTATTGCCCTAGGACAGGAAGAGGCCAGCCAGTCACTCCCCGGCATCCTGAGCTGGGCTCTGAATACCCTCGCCAGGCGTCAGGCGTCAGGCGGTGGGGGAGGCCATGGCGAACGGAAGGTGTGGCTCCTTTCAAATTCTGCTTTCCCTGCCCGCAGTGGCCTCCTAATGCAGGCTATTTCAGTTTGCTTGTGAGAACATTCTGGAACTCACGTTCCTGCCCTCAGAACACCGACATGCATGCGTGAGACTATGAGCAAATGGTGCGGAGCCTGTGTGCTAAGAGTGCTTACAGACACAGTCTCCGGCCACCATGCAGACCCCTGGTCGCCAGGACACCTGTATCTTCTCTACTCCTGCTCTCAGGTGGCACGCCCCTGAGTGCAGATCCACCCACCTTGAGATCCAGAAACCGCACGATGGTGTTGACACACAGCCCCTGCAGCAGCAGCACGGCCCCTGTAAGAGAGCAGGGCAGTCACCCTCCACCCCTGGTGTCTCCGTCTTGGGTCAGCTCCCCACACATAGGGGAGAGACAGCTGTCCCAGTGGCCCCCACCAGCCAAGGTTCATGCCAAAAAGGAGTCACCCCACTCCTGTGTCAGGTTTGAAACATCCGCCAGGTGTGGAGTCGGGTGGCTCACCAGCACAGAGGGACTCTCCTAAGTCAGGGGACACTAAGGCTTTCCCATTACAAAGAGAAACTGCCTTCTGCTCCCGGGTTTCCAGAGAGGACGCTGCTGCTGCTTTATGACAGTAAAAGGGAGTAACCTCACAAAGAAGAGATCGGGTGGGACTGAGTTCTCTGCTAGAGATGCTAAGCACCAAGGACTGTGGCACGTGCAGCTAATAAGCAGCAGAGCAAAAAGAAGCCAGGGGAGCCCGGCCCCAACACTGAAGTTGGAAGGGCTGCCCTGGGCCGCCGGCCCTTGGTGCCCACCTTCCTCACTCAGCATGCAGTCACTCAGGACGAGCTCCGTCAGCAGTGCCTCCTTCTGTAGCAGCTTGCCCAGAGCCCTGCAGGTGTCCACTGTCAGGCTCTGTGTGGCCAGGTCCAGCCGGCCCTGCGGCAGCTGGTGCATTTGCTGCAGAACAGTCTCCTGGGGCTCGGCCCCACTCTCCTTGCACAGCCGGCTGTAGGTGCGCCGGAACTCCTCCATGTCCCTGGGGTGCAGGAAGGGCTTCCCGGAAAGCGCCTAGACAGGCCTCACCAGGAGCCAGCTGGGACCGGGAAGCCGGGGAAGGGCAGTACGGCAGGGCCTCTCCCCTGGGGGCCTTCAGAGAGCCCCCGGCAGCTCAGTGGGGGCACAAAGACTCTAAGTCTTCAGCAGCCAGGAAAAGAGGCGCAAACTGAGTTGGTCCAACAGGCGCGAGGCCCCAGGAGGGCAGGGGCGGGTGATTCTCAGCGGACCGCTGAAGCCTGGGACCGAGGAGGTGGGGCGTCCTCGGGGGCGGGGCCTCCAGCGGCGGGGCCGGTCCGTCCGGACGTCGCCCGTACCCCTGGGCTCCGGGCCCGATGCCCCAGCCCTCGCGCCGCTGGCCCCCCGCTCGCTCGTCACGGCCGCCGCGCGCCTCAGTATCCAGGAAGAGCAGGGAGCGTCGGGAAGACCTGGAGGAAACTACAACTCCCAGGAGGCTTTGCGGAGGAGGGGCGCTCACCGCGGGCTAGTGAAGGCGAAGGAGCGGGCGCGCGCGGAGGGTCCATTGGCTGGAGGCGGGGGGCGGGGCTCCAGAAGGCGCGCTCTTTGTCGATTGGTTGGAGTCGCGAGGGAGGGTCTCCGGAGGGCGCGCTCAAGGTTCATTGGCTGGGGACGCGGGGGCGGGGCTCCGGAGGGCGCGCACCTTGGTGGCGGTCATGGAGGAAATCGGCGCCGGCTTCCGGAAAGTGAGAGAGGGCCTGCTGGCGGGGCGGGCTGGGGGCGCGGGGCGAGGCCGCCGGGGCGGGGGGCACGCGCGGGTCCGGCGGGGACGCTGCGGCCCGGTCCCCTGAGTGACCCACGTGCGGATCCTGAGCCAGACCCCGCGCTGCCGTCGGGTGCCTTATAGGGTGAGCCCATTCCCAGAATCTGGCAATGACCCTCGTCCTGCACACCTTTCGTCCTCCGTGGATGGGATCCCGCGGCCGGGTAGCGGAAGGTTGGGTAGGCAGCCTGGTCTGCGGCAAGAGGGAGAGGGTCTGCAGAAATCGGGCAGGGTAAGTGCCAGCACAAATGAAGGGAGGCTCAGAGAGGAGCCTGGGCTCCCGCCCCGCGGCTCCGGGATCCGCAGGACTCACCCTAAAGAATTTAGCGTAGAGCACAGTGCGGCCCAGCTCGCGGGTAGTCTCGGCGCCTGCGTATTCTAAAGCTTCCTTTTGGCCTGTTTCCTATCACACCAGCCCAGTGCTTTGCGTCTCACTTGAGCCAGGCTGGCTTCGTTGCCTGGTGTGTACGTGGCTCTACAAGTGCTTTTCTTAGCAGCACACCCAGCACAGTCAGGCACTGTTACATGCACTTGAAATGGATTAGCCCGTGTAATGCTCAACACCACAGGAGATGGGTACTGGTACTACCCCCACCTGCCAGTGGGAAAGAGGCAGAACTAGAGTCAAACCCAGGCCATCCGCCTCCAGAGTCAGCCCCTTTGCTCTGCACCTGGCAAATGGGGCTCTGGGTGGGTGGGTGGTGAGGTCAGCTGCCTCCCACACCCCGCAGGCTGTAAGTGGTCTGAGTCTCACATTGTTGCTCTGTCTTAAGGTTAGGTGACATTGAGCCCTTGATATCAGGCCTTTGTGGGCAGGAGGGAGAGTCTCAGCCCCTCATGAGTACTTGTCCAGCCAGTCTCCAGTGGGTGTTCTCTTTCTATCACCCAGAATCGTCACTCTGCCCTGGCCTACAAGGGGTATATAGTGTCAAAGGGAAAACCACCGAGGCAGGGGGTTGTAGGAATCCTCCACTGTAATAGCTGCAGAGGGGAGCACTGGGCTGGGCCTCCTTCATGCAGTCCTGCACAGCTCTGGAGCCCTCACCCTCAGAGGGCTCTGGCCAGAGCTGGGGTTATGGTCATTACCCATGAGCAGGGCTGTCCCCGGGGAGGGGGAGGGGTCGTGGTGCCCCCACACAGTGGGGCAAAGGCTGACCACATCCCAGGTCCCATCCTACCCTCTGCAAGTTTAGGGAACCTCTGCTCCCAGCTGGTGCTGACTGCTTTAGTTGTCACGGCAACCCCATGCAGCTGCCCCCCAGCAGCAGCCTGGTTGATTTAGCTCTTCCCCAGGGTCTGGGAGCTGGCGGAGCAGTAGAGCCTTCTGTGCCTTTGCTGGTACCTTTCAGGTACACAGCAAGGAGGGCCAGCAGGTGGCGCCAAGCTCACGTGGTCACTGCTGGGAGGATGAGGCTGCTTCTTTGGTGCTGCCCCAAGTGACTGGTGACGAGCTCTTACCCTCCTGAGCCAGGGCTTCGTCAGGGTCCGCTCCCTCCACTCTGCTCTCCAGCTTTGCTGAGCTGCACTGGGTGAGGCAGTGCCATCTCCGTGGCTAAGGCTAGAGGTCTGGTGGGTCCCCAGCTCACCTTCCCTGCACGACACCCAGTTTCTCCTGGGCACCCACTGCTGCTGTCCTCCCGCCTCCCCTGGCGCTCTGCTGGCTCCTCATTCGCAGCCTCTTCTGGCTGGTCCCTGCCCTCAGCAACCTCCCTTGGTCCACCCACGTGCTGCCACCTCCCAGATCCTCATCGCCAGCTTCAACCATCTCTGAGTTCCAGCCACCCAATGGCTGCTCTGCTTGGACACCTCACTGTGTCCCTCATGCAACATGTTCCAAGCTGAGCTCCTGAGATGCTGATCCCCAGAATCTATATCCGCTTAGTGGTGCCATACTTTGGGGCTCAAGCCTCTCCCTTGAGGAGTCTTGGCCTGGGCCCGCCCTTGTCCCATCCTCATTGGTCAGGAAGTCCTGCAGATAGTCTGGGCCCTGCCCCCTACCTTGACTGCCCATTGACCGAGAAGCCTGGCCCCTCCCCAGCTCTGCGGTTCCCACAGTGCCCTTCCCCATTACAGGAAGATCCCTTTCCACGTGTCGTGTCGTGTCGTAGGCTCCAGGGAGGGACCTGGGATGGAGCTGACCCAGTGCCCAGAGCAGGGTCTGGCAAAGCTGGGCGGCATTGGTGGTGTGGACAGGCCTGTAAAGGGGCCCAGTGTGGGGAGAGCACCTCGTCCCTGGGGGCAGGAGCACAGGACTGCTCTGGATACCATGAGGACTGGAGCCCCAGAGAGCAGCAGGCAGGCACCTGGGCTGCTCCCACCGGTCTGCCACTTGCATCTAATTTCTGGTCCTCCTGGAGGCAGAGAGGTTTCTCCCCACTGCCTAATCTCCCCACCCTGGGAGAGCCCCACAGACAGCATTTCCAGCCAGAAATTACAACCCCATCCCATCCAGAACTAAATGCCTAAGGGGTGTGCAGCAGAGGGGCGGGGGCGGTGGCTCACTGACGCCCCCTCCGTCCCTCAGGAGCTGGTGAGCAAGCTGCTGCACTTGCATTTTAAAGACGACAAGACCAAAGGTGTGTGAAGGGGAGGGGGGGGGGGCGGTGGCCGGGGACTGCTGGGCACCCGGGACCCTGCACTGCACCTCTGCAGGGGCCAGAGCCTCAGAGAGGACTGGGCCAGACGGAGGGCTGAGGTCACCGGCAAGAGCGTGAGGTCAGCAGCAGTGAGGGCAGAGTGGGGCAGCAGGGAGAGGGTGTGTGTCTGTAACCTTCTCCCTTCACCTTGCAGTCAGCGGGGACGCGCTGCAGCTCATGGCCGAGCTGCTCAAGATCTTCGTTGTGGGTGAGCAGAGGGACCCAGCAGTGTTCTCTAGTATCCCACCCAGGCCCGTCCGGATCATTCACGACCGCTTTGCATTTTATTTTTCAGTGGGGTAACCAAGACACATTTTTCCAGTTTTTCCCCAAGCACCTAAGCTCCCTGTCCCTGAAAAGCTCCGTGTTTCAGAGGCCCCAACCTCAGCCTTCTGAGCTGTCGGCTGGCACGGGGGTGGGCCAGCAGCCAGGGCTGAGGCCCACGGGGTTTAGGGTTCAAGGCCCCCCAAGCCTTCTCTGCCTCACTTCCCTCCTGCATCACGGCAGAAGCGGCCATCCGCAGTGTCCGGCAGGCCCAGGCAGAGGACCTGGCCCAAGTGGACGTGGAACAGCTGGAGAAGGTGCTGCCTCAGCTGGTAGGTGCACCTCCAGGAACAGGGCCTGGCCCAGGAGATGGGGGTGGGGGGGTGGCTACATCCACGAGGCTCTGAGCGCTCCTCTCCCCCACAGCTTCTGGACTTCTAGGGGTTTCCACCCTCACTGTGGCCACCGCTCCACGTCACGGCCTCTGGCTTCAGACAGGACAGGAGCTGCTGATCCCCCAAGGTTCTCCTCCAGCTCCCAGGATTGGCCGGGTGCCAGCAAAGCACCACTCTCTTCCCCCTGTCATCCCCTCTGCCTGCTGCTGATGGCCGGGATGCAGCAGATAGAGGGGTCACTGACAGGATGAGGGTCCTGCACCTGGGTTGGTGCCCTCCCCTCACGCCCCCCGCCCTCAGGACAGCCGAGCACCCACCGGTGTGGGAGAAGCACTTGGTCACCGGGAAGCAGGTGCGGGAGACCCGCCTGCCTGAGCAGGTAGCCTGTGTGTCCTCCACAAACAAGCAGAACGGTGTGGTTCTGCCACCGACATCAAAGCTTGTGTGTCACCTTCTAGCCGTCTGATATTCCCCTCAAAAGATGCTTGCCTGAGCTGTATATTTGTTCTCACAAAGCAACGTCAGTAAATCAGAGCCACCTCCCCAGGCACAGCCTCCTGTTGCCATTAATCACCCAAAGTCAAGTTGCTTCAAAGCTGGGAGAGGACAGAATAACAAACAGCATGTGTGAGTGCCCTGCTGTGGGCCAGGCTCAAGAGGCTGTGAAATCGGAGCCCTCGCACGTGTGGCTGCTCGCCTGGGACGGTGCCTCTGCCACAGGGCTGCCGTGAGTGTGGTGTGCCACCGGCCCGGCCGGGGTGCTGGTGGGGCAGGGGGAGCCACGCCAGCGGGAAGGACCACCGGTCCCAGGGCCACAGGGCCAGGCAGCTCAGAGCTGCTTGGGAGCCGCTAGAAGCCCAGTCGGGAGGCCTGGCTGCCCTCCCCCCGCAACACAGTACCCACCTCCCACCAGTTCTGAAAGCTGCTGGGACTCATCAGCCCAGGACAGAAACACCCAGAGGGCCCTGGGCCCAGTGACCATGGGGTCAGGACTCTCACAGAGCTGGAGGACCTATTCCACTGGGGAGGGACGTCTGCCCCTGCTGCCACGGGCACCCAGGAGCCCCACCCCCATGCCCAAGGATGGCATGGGTGGGGGGCCAGCCCTCCCTCCCTAGTTTAGCCCCGCTGGCCCCTTCTCGCACCCGTTCCCCGCCTCTGCCCCCCACTCCCCTCTCCCCCCTCCTGCAGGGAGTCTCAGGGCTTCAAAGCTCTGGGCGCATGTGGAAGTCATTAGACCTGAGGGGAGAGGCTGGCGACAAGTGCCAGAGCCCGTGCCCCACAGCCACTTTGAAGTGCGCTCAGATGGTGGGGCGGGCGGGGCACCGGGAAACCCCAGGCCAGCCCTGCCCGGTCCCACCGCAGGGTGGGGGCTGCGTCCGCCCCTCTCCTGCCAAGGGCTGGGGGCCCAGCCTGAGATGCAGCCAGGCAGGCGATGCCTGGAGGTCCTTCTCCCTGAACTCGTGTCCTGCCTAGAGGAGTCGTCATGAACGTCAGTGAAGTAAAAGCCAAGGGGCAGGCGGTTCAGGGCAGACACCTGTGCCCTCGTTAAGGAGAACAAGCCCCAGCAAGCAGCCGCCCAGGCCCACGTCACCGTCCAGCCAGGCTGGAGGCCCGCGGCTGGGGACGCGGCGCAGGGGCAGCAGCAGGAGGAGGGCCGTGGGTCAGAGGACCGAGGGCCTCTGCCCTGGAAAGGACGACAGGAGGGTCTCAAGAGAGGCTTGCATGTTTATTCCTGCTCAGGGTGGGCAGGGGTCCTGTGGCTGGCAGAGTGGCACCTCTGGGCTGGCGGCTCTCACCTCTTGCTGGCTGCAGCGCAAACACATGGGATGACCTCTGGGCCCTGGGCTCCCGCCCAGCAGCCCCTCCCTGCCCGGCCACCCCCCATAGTACCTGGCAGCTTCAGCCACTTGGGCACCTTGCCCAGACCCCTCCTCACTGGCTGGGCCGTCCCAGGGCTGGGCTCAGGGGGGCCCACTGACCCTTCTTCAGCAGTTGGCTCCAACTCAACGGGCGCAGGGTCAGGGGCTGGTGGCGGGGGTGGGGTTCCAGCAGCCCTGGACATGGACCTGAGAACAAAGGCCAAGGTGCCAGATGGTGGGCACTGTGGCAGCGGGCTCTCCCCACCCTCTGTGGACACTCACCTGGCCACCAGCACGTCAGCTGCAGACGGGGAAATGGTGTGTTCCAGCAGCGTGGGCTCCAGGTAGATGCCTGCAGGAGGCCCAGCCTACCCTCAGGCCACAGAGAATGGGGTGCCCCTGCCTACTGCTGCTCTGCTCTGGGAGGGGGCGTGACCCAGCCTGAAGCCCCCAGGAGAAGGGTATGGGGTATCGGGGCCACAGGTCTCCCTCCCAGACCCGAAGTCCCCTGCTCTGGGGCGTCTGATGAGCTGGGATGTGCGGCCCGGGGCTGGTCAGCAGCGGTGGGCAGAGGGGGGCCCCACCCACCTGTTGGCTCCTCAGGTCCAAAGTGCACAAGGGCAGCAGGGAAGAGGTTTGCCTGCAGGGAGGACAGAGGAGAGCTCAGGGACCAAGTGGGCACCGTGGAGGACGGCAGAGAGGGCCACACTGCACTTCCATGCTGGCCTCATGGGTGCTGCACCCATAAGGCCCAGGGCTCCGCTGAGGGCTACGGCCCTACCAGGCCCCTCCCACCGTGCAGTCCACTGCCCAGCTTCACCTATTCCTCCTCTGGCACCAACCCCAGTGCAAGCCAGGCCAAGGCATCAGACCATCGAATCCTAGGGCCAGCCCCAAACACCAGCTGAACAGGAAGTTCTCGTGGTGTGTGTGCTCTGGCATTTTTACCTACCTCCCCTTCCTGCCCAGTTCCCGGGGTAAACAGTTGACAGTCTGAAGGTGGGAACTAAGCTTGGAAGCCCCCGCCCTCAGCAGAGACTGCAGGAGGTCAAGAGGTCAGAGGAGATGCAGACTCACACAGAACTGCATGGGTGGGGGCATGGGGCACAGCCCACCATGCCCCCCACTCCCCTCCCTCACCTGTGCTGCCCAAAGAACAGAGTGCAGGAGTCGGGGGCACTCCATAGGGACTGACATATGAGCCCAGGTGCACTGGAAGCAGCTAGACTGGAGACAGGAGCACCAGGGGAGGGACCCTCAGTGGCCCCGGCACAAGGGGAAGGCGGGGGGGGGGGTGCTCTGGGAGCCAAGCTGCTTTGGGAGTCCCAGGCTGATCGGTGCCTCCAGGCCTACTGCCTTGACCCAAAAGCCCATAGGTGGGTTCCCTGACTCGGCACTGGTCTCGCTTGATAAGGAAAAGCCAGTGCCAGCCAGCATCAAGCCTGTCCTGCAGGGTGGGTGTTGCACTGGGGTCCCCACACCCCTCCCGGAGGCCTGTCCATGGGGGTGGTGGTGCAAGATTTCTGCTCAGGACTGGCTCCACCTGCGCAGGTGTGGGACAAGGACATATCACGTGGCCCCCGAAACGCCCCCGGAGGCCTCCCAGGTAGGGGGCTGGACTGTGGTGCAGAGTCAGGGCTGTTGCAGAGGATCCCGAAGCCCTCCAGTGTCGTAACCTGCCTCTATTCCCGCCTCTGCACCCGACGAGGACCATGGCTGTAAGCCCCAAAGCTGGCCTGAGCCAGCAGGAAGGCCACCGCCCAAGGCTCTGTGTCCTTAGCCCTGGAGGAAGGGCCACTGCTGCCAGGTGAGCGCATCCTCTCTGCCCAGCTCTGAGCTCTTGGCGTCTGGGCGGGGAGTATTAATAAGAGGAAGCTTCAAAGGCCAGGCCTAGGAACGCTGAGATTGCAGTTGAAGCTGAGGGACAGAGAAGGGCCGTGAACACTCTGAAACCCCACTGTGATGCCTGGAATGATAGCCTGGTGCGGGGAGATGGGCTGCAGGGTGGAGGGCAGCCCCAGGGCCCTGGAGGCACTGGAAGCTGGGGGCGTGGGGAGAGAAACACAGGTAGGACAGTGCCTCAACCTTTCTAGGGTAGCGCAGTGAAGCCAGACCCTGACCCGGCCAACCCGCCAGGCACTGGGGCCACCCACCCGGCTGGGCCGTCTGGGAGCTGCAGAGCTTGAAGTCTTGAAGGACCCATTTGGGCCCCTCGAGGCAGCTCCTCTTGAACCTGGCCTCCCTGCCTTTCCTCAGCACCTGCTGGAAGCCCCCTACCTGCCAGCCTGTGTCTCAGGGAATCCCATTGGAAAAGGGGTGAGTGGACGGCACAGAAGACCACCATGACCGCCAGGAGGGAGGGTGTACCCCTCTGCTCACGCTGACGAAGTCTACATGGATCGTGGTGGTCTTCAAGGCCCACTAAGGGTGATGGAGGGGCTCTGGGCGAGGCAGTGGTGGGGGTGGCTGAGACAGGAGCCGAGTGAGCTCCCTGAGGCTTGGGGCAGAACCAGCACTAAGGGGGCTCAGTCCCAGGAAGCAGGTACGACGTGGGGGGTTGGGGACCTTTGTGTCCACGGACTGGGTCCTCTGCATCCTCCCATCCTTGGCCTCACCCTTTTTTGGCCTCTCCCAACGAATAGTCACTCTGACCTGATCCAGTGGCCAAAAAGGGCACTGGGCTGCCATCCCCCACACCCACCCTGAGCTGTCACTTTCTGGGGCGCAGGACCAGCCCCCGGGCAGCCTCCAGGGCAGCCGGCAGCCAGAACGCGGTCCTGCCAGGGACATGAAAGCCAGCAGCTTCCGCGCCCGCGCCTGCTCACCCGCAGGAGGGAGGAAGCCTTCCTTCCCTGAGCCCTGCCAGCTCTCTGATCGCGGGCGGGCAGGGACGCCACTCCGAGCAGAGGCCCCACGGCTCCAGGGCGAGCTGACGGATGAAAGGAGACGGCTGCTGGTAGCGGGGGCAGAGTGTCACCAGGAATCAGGCCACGTGGGCGGGACAGGCAGCACCCCAGGGTTCCTAATTGGAGGGGGGTGCCTGGACGCTGGCCCCTCTCCATCCCAAAGCATCTTCCAAATTCAATGTTTATCAACAGGCTGGCCAGCGAGGGAGAGTGGGGAGGGAGGGAGGGAGGGCGGGTGGGGATAGAGGAAGGAGGCCCAGTGCCTCTGGGGCTCCCGGGGGGCTGCAGAAGGGGGCTGAGAAGGGGGAGTGGGGGCGGGGGAAGCACCCTGCTCCCCCCAACCTTGACTCCTTTCCTTGGTGGGCTTCCAGCCTCTCTGCTGCTCTGGCCCCATCCCCCCATGACGGTGGCAGTCCTGAGCAGCAAGCAGACCCCCTTGCCCCAACTAGACCTCTGCAGGGCCTGCTGGCCACTCAACAAAGGCCAGCCTCTGTTACTAATTAAAATATCTGAAGACACTTTAAGAGGAAACCATTAGGCTAGAGGGCTGGGGAGGCCTCAGGCTGCTCTCCTGGGGTGAAGGGACAGGACATTCCTTCTTGCTCTGGACTGCGGCCCAGCAGGGCACCGGATCAACGCTCCTCACCCTGGGAGCTCTAGGGGCCTCCAGCTAGCAGGGAGGGCCCACCACGGCATTCCCAGAGGAGGCCACAGGGCCCAGGGGAAAGGCAGGGGCAGGGCAGCAGGCCTGGCAGCAGCCCCTCCCGTCTGGGCAGCTGGCCACCTGCAGCCGAGGCCTCTGACCCTTGGCCCTTAAGGGGTTCCCCTAAGCAGCCCCACCTGCCAGCCCCTTCTCATCCAGACCCAGGGGCAGTCCTGGCTCAGGATGGTGGCAGCCAGCCGGGCAGGCCCATCCCCACCGGGGCAGGAGGCAGAGGAGGCTGGAAAGCCCCCAAACTGACTTCAGCAGCACCCTGCTCCCTCCTAGTCCACCCTCTAAAAGGCCTTATCATACTCCCGACTGCGGCCTCACGCTCCCTCCTGGGCAGGTGCCCCTCCCGGGCCAGCCTAGCAGCACCCACCAGCCAGCCAGGCAGGCAGGCAGTACCTGAAAGAGGGTCAGCGTGTGGTCGTCCAGGATGGTTTTTGGAGGAGCAATGACTGCGGAAAGATGGTTGTCTGCGCCAGGAAACGCCTCACGCCCCCCATCACCCCCCCATCCCTTGCCCATGCACCCCCTGCCCCAGGACAGGCCTGAGAGTGAGCATGAGGCCTGGGCCATAGGCCTCAGCTGAGGAATTTCTGAAGTACTCCTCAGCTCACATCCCCCTGTCCATCACTCTACCGCTGCAAAAACCCAGCAAGAAGCTGGGAAGAGGGCCTCGGGCAGACTCACCTGCAAGGGGACACCTGCCCTTCACAGTTCCCTGTGCAGCCCTGCGGCCTGACCCTTCACTACCCAGACGCCCTCCAAAGGAAGCCAGCAGCTCGCCCCTGTGCCCCCAGCCCCTACAGCTCCTGGCCAGGTGGGAAGCAAAGGGCACAGGGGCGCTGAGCAGGGTCAACCTCCCTCCCCAACTTCCCCAGTCCCGGACTCATGCTCAGACACCGGCACAGGACCTGCCTGCCCCATGATGCTGTTTCTGTGGGAAAAGCTGCTTCAAGCCCCAACTGGGAGGTGCCAGGGCTGCTGAGCAGGAGGTCCCAGAAAAGCACTTACACAGGTAGAACGGCAGCTTGGGGTTGCCCAGGTGGCTCCTCACGAAGTCCCGCAAATCCCCCACTGCAGGAGGAAGGGTGGGGTGAGCAAGGATCCCACACTCAGACCCACTCCAGGGCCGGGCCCCCTCTGCAATGGGACGGGAGCCAGGTCCAACCTGTGTGCAGACCCGCTCCCCAAGGTCACCAAGAACCCCACTCAGAACTGGTGGCACTGCTGCCTTCCTTCCAGATGAGCTGCAGCCCCAGGCCAAAGACCCCGCTACTGGATGTGGGGGAGACCTGGGTCCACCCTTCTCTGGGTGCCCCTCTGTCCCACCCATGCTCAGAACAGATGGGTGCACGGGGCCACCCAGTCCCACGGGTACTGCCTAGCTGGTCTGCCGAGCCTCCAACGTGAGCCGGTCCCCAGCCCTGCACCCGCTGCCTGCCCCATGGCCCAGAGGGAAGGAGCCTGGAAGAGCTCACAGGGCGCCCCCACCCTCCCGGACGCCCAGACGGGGCTGCTCACCGGTCTCGCTGGGGCGGAAGAAGCCCTGCAGGATGTAGCGGTCAGGAAACAGGACCCTCAAGACCACCTAGGCCAGGACAAGCCAGCTTGTCAACAGGACAGCTGGAGTCCAATCCAGGCGTCCACACCCCTGGGCCCACGATGGCTAGGTCCCCCGGCCACGTCAGGCCAGCACCCCCTCACCTTGGCTGCCCCCTAACGCTCCCGGCCCCATGGGCTGGACACAAGGACCAGTCAAGTACCCACGTGCACTTGTGAAAACACACTGATGTTTTTCATCTTAGAATGGGGCTGCCTGGCTCATTAACGAACCACGGCCGTGTAGGCCTGGGCTGAAGTACAGGAGACCATGGCCAGTGGCTTGTGGGCTGCAGAAGCCGCAGGAGGCCCCAGTGCAGAGCCATGTGCAGACCACCTCCCGCCCAAAGGTACCTTAGGGTAGCGCTGCAGCTTCTCCTTCATCTGAGCCTCTCTGAAGGCCTTGGTCACCAAGGGGGCTTCTTCCAGGCGCTTCCTGGGGTGGGGGGGTGGGGTAGGGGGCGGCAGTGGTGAAGGTCCCAGGTCTCCCCAACCAGAGCAGAGGCCCTACACCAGCTGGACTCTGGGTTTCTCCCTCGTCCCCCTGGACTTCGTGAGCTGCTCCGCAACATAGGGCCAGACAGGACTAGGAGCCCCCTGCCTGGGACCCCTCACCCTCTGAGGTGTTGCCAAGGGAACGGGTGTCTCTGAAGGGGCCGGGTGCATACCCACCGTTCACTCTTGAGCTGGGCCAAACGTCTTCTGACATCATCCACGGTCACTTCGAAGAACTCGTCAGGCAGCTCTGCAGGCCAGGCCTGGAGCAGCACCTCCAGGTCAGGGTGGCACACCACGGGGTCTCGGTCCACTGGCTAGGCAGGCAGAGGGCTCGGCTGATGCAGGTCCCGGGAAGGGCCCAGGCTCCCGACCCCAGGGGGCTGGGGTGGCCGTGCAGACCCCGGCTGAGCCATGTGCTGCCGGCCCCGCCTGTTAGCCCATGGCCAGGGCCGGGTCTCCGTGATGGGGCATGGGACAGCCGAGCCTGTCCAGGACTGGAGCCCCTCCCACCATGCCTGCCTGCTTAGCAACACTGACACTGAGACCCTCACTCACCACCAGGGCACATGGCCCTGGGGTCTTGGCTTAGCCGGGTCAGCTGGCACCCTGACTGCTGGGGGGTACTTGGGCAGTGGGTGAACAGCAGCATCTCTGTTCACTTCCTGTCTCCGTGGGGGCTCCCCACGAGCCCCAGGGAGCTACCTGTTATCAGGGTCTCCCAGTGGGGAACAAACTTGGGGAGCAATGCCCTGGTCATGGCCATGTCAGCGGTTCCACGGGAAGGGCAGGAGAAGCGACAGCCCCCAAATTAGAGATTTGGCAAAAACCTGCCAGCTGCTGGCCCTATGGCCAGGCTGACCCCTCCTCCCTTCTCTGGGGGAGCAGCTGGCCCCACCCTCTGCCCACCGTGGGGACACAGGAAGGGACAGCGTCTCTCCTAATTGGCAGCAACGGAGTGGGAAATTATAAGGCAGGGCCTGCTCTGCTCGCAGTGCCTCCGGGTGGGTAATTGTAGCGAGTGTAGCCCAAGTGACTATGTGGGGAGACACCTTCGCGGCGCTGAGGCCGCCCATGGAGCCGGGCCCGACAGAGGGGTCCAGCTGCGCCGGCAGGGCCTATGCCAGGTCCTACCCTCCCTCGCACAGAACATCCACAAGCCGTCTGGGGTGAGGTCACTTCTCTGCCTTCTGCTCCCGCCTGCCCCCTCCTCCCCGCCCCAGCCTGGCACCGAAATCCCACCTCCTGCCTTCAACACTCAGAGCCGGGCTCAGCAGGCTTCTCTGATCATCCCTTCCTGCGCTCCGGCCCGACCACAGCCCCACCCACTCTAGAGGTCAGACTCACCAACCTGGGGCTGGTCGAGGGCTGAGGCTGCCCAGTGCACCTGCCAGGTGTCCCAGGGCTGCTCCCCCAGCCACACCCAAGGCCTTGACTGCCCAGGCCAGCAGGTCTCTGCCATTCCTGAGTGCACAGCTGTGTCACTCCTCGTAATGAAGGGAGGTGGGTTCTCGCCAGGAAGCCCCACTGATCTCAAGGCACTGTGGCAGGGTGGCCAGGAAGGGCTGGCTGAGGCCCGGGCAGTGGGGTCTGTAGGTGGCTGATCGAGGCCCCTGGGGGCTGCCCCCTCAAAGCCACAACCCTCCTGCCGCCCACAGGCAGTCCACACCAGAGCTTTTTATAACAAGATGCCAGGCTGCCCCCCACAGCCACGGCGCCTGCATTCCAGAAGGGCCGAGCACTCGCCTGGGCTCCCGGGGGAGGGCGAGGGCAGATGTGAATGTGCCTGAGCTGGGCACCGCCGTGTCCACGAGTGCCAGGCCCCCGGCGCTCGAGCACAAAGCCCACAAGCCAACGAGCAAGCTCTGGGACCTCCTTGTCCCAGTCCCGCCCTCCAAGGACCCAGTTCTGGACACATGAGTCACCCCGAGAATCCAGCAATTGGGTGACTTGTGATCCACGGCCTGGAGCTGAGCCTGACCATCAGACAGGCCCCCTGATCCCCGGAGGGGGCACGGCTGGGGAAGCCCGACCCTGAGTGCACGGGGCCACTCTGGCCTCCTTATCCTCCTGGGTACTTCCAGTGCACAGCCCAGGGGTAACCTGGAGGACTGCAGACTGCTAGCACTTCCCACAACCCTCCCACAACTTCCAGAACAGGGACGCAGGTGACACCAGCTGCTGGCTTCATGCTGCTCAGGGGCCACTGACTTTCAGTCAGAAAGTGAGCAGACAAAAATCTCTCTCCCCGCTGGATCTACCTTCAATTCACACCCCTCCTCCCATGCCTCAGCTCTGCTCCAGAAGCCCGTTTGTCTGTCCAAGAGCAATCAGGAGCCGGGGTCCCACACGGGAACCAGAGCACTGGGAGAGAGCCACCTCGAGATCCCACTCTCTCGTTCTCCTGCACCGCCCTGCGTCTTGGGGACCTCCCTGCTCCTGGGCAGAGAAGCCAGGGTTCTGAGCAGCCTCTGCTGCCCATCAGAGCCCAGGGGCCAGATCACCCAAGTCCCAGAGCTGCCGCCACGACTGGACCCCAGGCGGTCCCTGTCCCATGAGAACAGTGGATATCCATGGCTGGGCTGGTAGGACGGACCACCCTGTCCTACCAAATGACCGAGGGAGAAGCCAGGGGGCTTCAAACACCTCCATGAGGCCTGCCCAGAAGATATTTCCACCGCAAAGAGGAGAGAGACCAGGAAAGGAGGAGTGGGTCTGACCGCTCCATGTGGGAGGAAGCAGGGCAGACACGGCGCCAGCGGAGGCCAAGCCCTGGCCCTGCTCACTTCCAATGCTCTGCCGGCAATCTAGCCCTCATTTGCTGTTCCTTTACCCGCCGCTCCTTAGTCATGGGCAGTTATCATGCACAGCTCCCATCCTAGGTGGATTTATGGAGATGTTTTTGGATGGAGATAGAGATCTAGGATGAGACACCATTAAGAAAAAAAACAAAAAACGCATACAGTGGCCACTGTCAGAGGGCCTCAGCGCCCTCACCGTGGGGACTGGGTTCCTGTGTGCTGGCCGAGGGAGGGACACAGCCCCAGGGTCCAGGATGGGCCTCCAAGATGAACCTCCCAGTTGGTGCCCGAGGATGCTGGTGGGGTGACAGGCCTAGAACCTTCCCAGCACACCTGACAGCTGGGCCACCTGACAGCCCGAATCTCCAGGTCTGCTCCTCCAGATCCTACCAGGGAGCCACTCAGAGGACGCGCCTCCACTAAGAACCCAATGTCACCAGGCTTGGGTCATCCTGCCAAAGTCACAGGTTTTCCATCATCAGCTCAAGGTCCAGCTCCTGAACGCTGTCAGTGTCCAGAGCACAGCCCCGGCCCCGTCTCCCGCCGCCCCCACCCCCTAACCCCAGGAAAGCCAGAGGAGCCGGTTCCTCCCCCGGTGGCCCCGACGCTGCGGGCATCTCACTGTCGGCTAGAAGATGGGCAGAATGAGGAGGAGGAAGCCAGAGCCTGGGGTCTGAGCCCATGGGGTGGGAGGGCCTACATGACAGCGCATGACAGATGAGAAAACAGGCACGGGCATGATCCTGAGGGGAGGATCGGCAGGTGTCTGCAGCCTCCAAGGGCGGGGCCACAGGAGACCCGATTCTTCTGGTGGAACGCCCAGCAGGGGTCTCTCATTTCCTGCAAGCAAGCACAAGACCCTAGCAAAGACTCCCCTGTCCCAGCCTCCACCGAGGGTATTAAGACAAGAGAACACCCAGAAGACCAGAAAGGAGGGAGGTGGACGGAGAGAGCAGACGAGTCAGGCTGTCTGCAAACTGGAGGATACTGGCGAGGGGCACAGAGGGCATTTGGGAGGGAAAGGACCCTCCGGTGGTGGGGGAACAGGAGCACCCTCTGCGGGTGATGTTCAGAGGAGGCCCTGGGTGACGGCCTGAGGCTGCAGACACTGGACTGACACCTGGGCCACTCAGCCATGGGGACTTGGGGACCCGCCACCAGCTGTGGACGGCCACCAGTGCCTTCAGGAAGAGCCTCTGTCACACCAGGATGGACCCTTCAAGGGAGACCCGAGGGGAGGAAGGTGTGAGGGCACTGCCTACCCTCAGCCCCATGCCACAGGCAGTGAGATGCCAGGCCTGGAGGGGACCAGGGGACGGGGCTCTGGGCTGAGACGTGGGCCCACGGCTTCCCCCAACAGCCAGTGGACATGCTCCAGTGGCCACCACACGAGTGGCTGAGAACCCACTTGGGCACACAGGGGTCTCCTCATGTCAAAAGCGGCCTCACTGCCTGCTGAGGTTTCATTTTCTTGACAGTAATTTTCCAGGACATGATGACACAGGGAGAAAAAATGTAAAAACTATTTGGAGGTGACCTCAACCCCAGATTTTCCAGCTGCCCTGTGAGGGCTCTTGTTTTCCTCCCGCCCTCCCACCTCCCTCTTACCCAGACTGTCCTCTGACAATGATTTTTGGTAACAGGGAATGTGAAGCGTTTCCCCTTGAGGCTTGGAGCTGAAATGAAACACTACGCGGGAGGAAGGCGGGCCAAGCCTCCGTCACTCTCAGAGCCGGCCGCCCTCTGGAGGGAGCAACGCGCCAGCACGAGGCCAGGCCTGACCGGCAAGGCTGCACTGAACTCCAGCCCCTCATCCGCTGGGCCTGCCAGCGGCACAGGCGGAGGCCGCGCCTGCCCCAGCCCTGGGCCAACGTCCACACCTGGGCCTGCACGCCTTCCAAGCAGGAAAAATGAGAGCATCTTTAAGAAGAGGAGAAACGCTGGGCTGCGACAGTGACGCAGGCATACTTTGAAACCCGGTGGCTCCACGCCCTGGCGTGGCCCCACCTGTCTGTGCACGCAGTGCATGAACCTCCAAAGGACTGAAATAAGCAAATGTAAGGCATGGGGTGGCTCTCCTCATGCACAGGGTAAGACGCCTGCTCCAGGCCAGCAAACCCAGGGGTGGACGCACACAGCAGACCAAAGGGCCAGGAGAAACCCCGCAGAGGGAGCCCCTTGAGCCCGATCAGGATGGGGGCCTGCAAACGAGGCTGCCTGGCCCTGCGGGCAGCTCTGGGGTTCCAGGGGGTACTCTGGCAGCCGGGGCACCCTGCCCACCGGTTCTCCATGGCTTCGCAGGTTGGGCATCTGTCTCTCCCCCGAGTCCAGTCATGGTTGAGACACAGCATGACAAGGACAGCTGGAGGGCACCTGCCTGTCACCAGGCTTTAAAAACCGCCTCAAGACTCAGTTGGGGCCTTCAAAGTTGCTGACCCATCTGCCAGCAAACCTCAAAGGGCATCCCAAGTTAAGGCCAAGGCCAGAGCCCCGGGACTGTCCACAAACAGCGGCAGGGCAGGGACAGGCTCACAGCACGCCCTGGGCCCACACATGGGGGGACAGCGGGCTGTGCTCTTGGGGGCATGTCATGGACAGGCACCCCGGGCCAAGAGGAGGAGGGTGGCAGGGCAGCAAGGGGCACTGCTCTCGGTCCACCCCAGGCCCCAGGTCCTGGCCAGGCTCCCCCGAGCCCTGCGTGTTCTAAACCTTCCCGTAAACCGGGGACAGCCAGAGGCGAAGCTGACGCCTGCCCTGAGACATGGGTGCAAGGTGCGGAGTAAGCCCCCGGGGCCACGTCTTCAGGAGATGAGACCATCCCCTGGAGGGTGAGGGGCAGGCAGGGGAGACTGCCGTCAGCCCGCCCTTCCCAGGGGGTTGGGGCCTTTGATCACGAACCCCTGTGCCAGCTGCGTGGGGGGACGCCGGCTGGGAGCACAGCCCAGCAGCACAAAGAGCTGCGGGGCAGCCTCCTGGGCCAGCGGAAGGACTTCAAAGGACAGGCCAGGGGCCGCCGGGCAGCCCCAGCCTCTCTCCGCACTTGGTTCTGACGGCCAGTAAAACTACCTTCTAATAATTAATGTTCTGACATCAAAGGCAGGAGCCGCCCGGGTCTGTAAACCATCCCGGGCCTCAGCCGAGGACCTGCCTGTATTTCATCCTGTCTCTTCTGACTCTTCATTCAAATCCAAAACCACACACAGGCAAAGCATTAATGGGAAACTTGGAAACTCTTTTTGATTACTAAAGTGTACCTTTGAAGTTCCCCCAAAAGTTCTGATTTGTTCCCTTCTCCCCTCCCCCAGGACTCGAGGGGACACAAAGCAGACAGCATGTGGCCAGCCGGGCCTCCGGGTGCACGGCTGTCAATGTGACAGGAGGCGCAAGGCAGGCGGGCGGGGGACGCTCCACAATCAACCAGCTGCTGGGGCTCCCAGATCAAAGACACGCACTGCTGGCGGCCAGGCGGACCCTCCCCAGGACTCCTCCTTCCTGGGGCCCCTGGGGTCAGCGCTCGGGGATGCACTGGGATCCTGTGCCTGACAGCAACCACCTATCAGGCTGGCACCAGACCAGGCCACTCCCCACACAGCCCTGGGGAGTCAGCAGGCTCCCAAGAGATGCAGAGAGCCACAGCCTTTAGGGTGGGAGAAGGAGACAGCCAGCCCCGGTACTAGTTTTCTGGCCCCCAAACCTAGGGGTCCCCAGAAAGAGCAGGCCCGAAGGGAGTTGGGCCCCCAGCCCTGGCTCACCCCAACCACAAGGCTCTGCTTTCGAAAGCTGATTCTGGGCCCAGGTGACGAGCCTGTGAGACTGGGGGCTTCGTACTAGTGTCTAATGCAGCCCAGACATCAGCGTAGAAGCCAGTGGGGTCCCTGAAGAGCCAGGGCACCACCACCACCTCCCCAGGACGGACATTCACGGGGCTTGAGACTGGCTCAGTTCCCCTCCCTTCCCCCATCCATTCAGCAAGGACACACAAAGCATGGTTCAGGAAGCAGGAGGAAGCCCCCGCCACCTGCCCCTCTGCAGGAACTTGGGCTCTGTCCCACCGCTGAGCCTCCGCACGGCCCACCCCGCACAGGCACAGGTGCCCCTGTCCCTCTACCCTCCCCTTCAGGTATGTGACCTGAAAGCAAGAGTGAGGAGGGTGCTCTAGAAGAGACAGGATGCAGGCTCCAGCACTAAAATATTAGTTAACAGCAGCTCAGAGTGCAGCTAAACACATCACTGAAGCTGGACTGACCCCTGGAATGCAAGGATAGCTTCGTGGGGGAAATCCATCCCAAACCTCAGCATGCAAACGAACTAAATGAGAGCGAAGGCGTGGAATCACCTCAATGTGGGAAACGCAGCTCATAAAGCACCACTCTTGGGTCTCCCTGGTGGCGCAGTGGTTGAGAGTCCACCTGCCGATGCAGGGGACACGGGTTCGTGCCCCGGTCCGGGAAGATCCCACATGCCGCGGGGCGGCTGCGCCCGTGAGCCATGGCCGCTGAGCCTGCGCTGCACAACGGGAGAGGCCACAACAGTGAGAGGCCAGCGTATGGCAAAAAAAAAAAAAAAAGCACCACTCTTACTTTTGATCAAGAAAAATTCTCAGAGAATTAGGAATAGAAACTCTTGATTTGATAAAGATTTTTCACAGCCCACAGCATCTTTCACAGATAAACTAAGATTACTCCGTGTGAGATCAAGGTCAAGACAAGGATGCCCACTAAATTTGCTGCTATTCAACAGAGACTCAATCACTGCAATACGACAAGAAAAAAAAATGAGAGAAGTAAGGACATCAAGGAAAAAGATAAGCTGACATTATCTGCAGACTCCAATTGAAAATAAGAAACTGCTGGAACCAGTAAAGCAAGTGAGCAAGGCTGCTGGGTATAAAAGCCAGCAGCATCCATGCCCGGGTGGAGCCTCTCCATTCTCACTCCACAAGCTCCTGCTCCAGGCAGGGAATCCTGCAATGGCTCTCCATCGTCTGGAAAGGTGATTTGTACAAAGGAATTCGTTTCAGCAGTGGCATCCTTCTCGTCACTTAAAACCTCAAGTGGACCCTAAGCGTTGGCACATGGAGCCACTCTGGCTGGAAGGAAGGGCAGAAGAGAGCGGAGAGCCTGGAGCCCTCACTCAGAAGGTGCAGCTGCGTCTCGAATAACGCCCACATGCACCTGTGCAGCCTCATGGGCTCCACAGGTGACAACGTGCAGCCCAGGCTGGAAACCCAGGCTGGCCCCACCGTAAGGTCTCTTTATTTGGAAAGACCCTCTCCAGCCACGAGCCAGAGACCTAAGCTGGACTCTGGATGAATGCCTGAGCCTCTCCAGGGGCCAACCCCAAGAGGCAGGGGGCCCAGCACAGCGCAGGAGCCCAAAACGTTGGGAAATCTACAACACGCCTTTCCTGGAAACAGTCTGTGAGCTCTGCTGAGGGAGCAGTCACACAGAGGGACACAAAGAAGCCTATGGGGGCTTCCCTGGTGGCGCAGTGGTTGAGAGTCGGCCTGCGGATGCAGGGGACACGGGTTCGCGCCCCGGTCCGGGAAGGTCCCACATGCCGTGGAGCGGCTGGGCCCGTGAGCCACGGCCACTAAGCCTGCACGTCTGGAGCCTGTGCTCCACAAAGGGAGAGGCCACAACAGTAAGAGGCCTGCGTACCGCAAAAAAAAAAAAAAAAAAAAGAAGCCTATGGAAGCTCTGCCGTACGACTCATGAAAGCCCTACTGGAGAAAGTCCCAGAGGTGCTCCAGGGAGAAAGTCCTGCCCTGGTGCCAAGCTTGAGCACCAACCCGACAGGGGCCACGCCTGTCCTCCCTCTTAGGAGCTCCAACACAGCTGCAACTGCCCAGGGAGAGGTTGGCCTGACCCACAGACGACCAGAGATGGCCTCCATCAGACAGCGGGGAGGCAGACACTGGCCACACGCCTGACTTCTGCAGAGGTGCCGCCCACCTGGGGGTCCTCCTGCTCAGCGTGATCCAAGATGCAAGGCCCCTTCCACCCCTCATGTCTGTGTGTGGTCAGAGCAGGGGACGGGGGCGGGAATCACTGTGGGGGAGGATGTGAGACTAGGGCACAGCTCAAAGGTGCCCAAAGACAGATTCAACATCGAGAAGACAAAAAGCCTAACACTGCCCTGATGGTAGGTGTCTATTAAGTCGTACCTCAATAGAGCTGATCAGACTAGAAGACAGCGTCACAGAGGCAACCCAGGGCCTGGGCCGTTTCATCACAGCTCCGTGAGGGCTGCACGCCCTCCTCCCAGCTGTGGCTCAGACGGCCGCCAGGAACTTCCAAGAAGTCCCCACCAGAGACGTCTGAGGCCCCACCCACAAGCTTGTGAAGAGTGAGCAAACTCACCCTCTTCTGCCTGTTTGGCGCGTGCCCCACACGCCCACTGGCCAGTGGTGGGACGTAGCATGTGAGCTGCAGCACGCCTGGCTCAGGAGTCAATGTGGCGTGGGACGATCAAGGCCAAACCATCTTCCTGTCAAAAGCCAGTCAAACCCACCAGCCCAGGAGAAGGTGGAGGCGCCGCGTCCAAGGCTCTAGGAAGGATGGCTCTCTTGGCTGTGACATGGCCAGCCAGGACACACAGGTTTGTCAAAACCCATCAACTGTACATCTAAAATGGTGCCTCAAGAAAGCTGATTTCAGGCAAAGCAAAACCAAAAAATCGCTTCCCTGGGAAGATGAAACCGCACCCAGCGACCCTGCTGCACCCTGGGCTGAGCAGCCACGAGGTCAGGTGCAGTTAAGAGAAAGGACCCCAGCGCCCAGCTCGCCCCTTACCAGCTCCGGCTCCGGCTGGGGCTCCTGGCCAGGCCTCGACTTCTTTGGCTGGGAGGGGCCTGCAGGGCTGGAGAAGGACTTTGGCAGTTTGGCTGAAGATGACATCACAGGCCTCACGGACCCGGAGGGGCCCCCCAGTCGCTGTCCCCCACCCGAGAAAGGAACAAAGGGGGCTGGCGTGGGCTCCTTCGAGATCTGCTTTGCCTGAGCGTCCACCGGCTTCGGGCCCAGGCCATCCACGCGGCCAGCCCCCGGGCTCGCTGCCTCATCCTGATGGCTCACATCGCCCTGGCTGAGCTCCGCTGAATTCAGTGGAAACGGAGGGCTGCTGGCTGCCTGGTCGGCCGACAAGGAAGGGGTCGGGCTTCCTGGGCTTCTGCTCCAGGAGACCCCAGGCTCCTGCCTGCCAGTGGAATCATGTCTCTTCATGGAAAACCTGAGTGGGTAGGCCCGGAAAGCAAATGAAACTCCATACACGGAGCCCCGCGTCTCACAGTGCCAGCATCGTATCTTCTGGTGACTACCAAACCAAACCCAACCCCTGAAAGCACCCCACAGCCCTTCCCGACCCGCCTCAGCTCACGGGGGAAGAAGCGTGCGTGGGGCCGCCACGCCAGCCCGGCTGAGGGCAGATCCCCCCCACCTGATGCTGCACCCCATGGTGCCCAGCCCCCACAGACTGCAGGCAGGAGAAGCAACTGGCAAGGGTCTGGGCTTCCCCACGTTTCCTGTTTCCTTTCCCTTGAGACCGCAGTTTTCTTCACTAAACCAGACTCAGAGACCCCCCACCTGATGATGGCGCTGCCCCCGGTGAGGCCCAGTGACTGCAGCGTCGTGCTCTGCAAGGCGGCTCTACCGGTCACCTGTGAGGAAGGAACAGGACATCCTGCTGACCCCTCGCTGCCTCCCCCAGCCTGGGCACTGTGTCACCAGCACCATGGGGTCCCGCAGCCAGCCACAGCTCCCAAAAGGCCTGGGTCCAGCCCCCTGCACCCCAATCTACATCCGAGCATTTGTTCGCTGGTCCATGTCTGTCTCCCCAACCCCACCCCATCCGAGGTCTGGGTGGGCAGGGCTCAGGCCGGGGTTAGGCACATCTGGCCAGCTAACCAGCCCTCTGAGGGCTGGAGCTGATCCAGGCCCAGGTGCCTGAGGCCCAGTGGTCTGTCTCCTCCAGGGGAGGACCCATCCCCCAAGGTCCCTCCCGCTCACAGCCCTGGAACCCCTGCCCCACTGAGCCCTGGGTCAGGAACCTCAAACTGGGATAAATAGGTGAGTGTGCCCTGTCTACACCAGGGGCCCCTCGGGGACAGTGGGCACCCCAGGCCAGGAAAGGGCGCTTGGCCAGGGTTGAAACAAAAAGCCCCTGTGAGCCAGGGGACAAGCGCCAAGAGGGTCCCCCGTCACGGGCGGGCGGGCGGGGACAGGCAGGGCCTCAGTGCCAGGCCAAGCCTGCACCACGCCACACTCGGTTTTGAAAAAGATCAAAACTTTGAGCAAAGCAAATATTTATTAAAATGAAACCACTTTTGTGACTCTTGGGCTTTGAGAGAAGCTGAGAAAACAAACAGGGCTCTGAGGGAGGTTTGGGAGCAGCCCGGGCGGCCCGCAGTTGGTTCCAGCGGAGCCGGCGTCCTGCCTTTTTTCCATGAAACACATCATGCTTTCAGGGCCCCAGTCTGCCCATCGCTGCTTTGAAAGGTCTAAAGGAGTGAATTTTCCAGATTGGAAAGTGGGGTGGGCCCATGTGGCGGCTGGGAGGGGGCGACAGGGCGCGGGCCCGGCGGGTGGGCCCACAGCTCACCTACCTCATCTCTCATGTACACGCAAATGGGGCTGGCCTCACACGGCCGGTCCAGACACTCCCTGAGAGGGGAGAGAAGAAAGCATCACAGGTAACCACTGCCTGGGGACACTGCTGCCCTGGGGACAGCACCCTGGCCAGCCACTGTGGGGGACCCGCCCACCCTGGCCACCCCACGGCTGGCCATCAGCCCATGGCCTGGGGGTGTCTCCCACCTGCCCACGGCCTCCCGGCTCAGAGCAAAGGGAGGACACAGAACACGGGGACGGGCGGCACCAGCCACCTCCTGGACGTGCCTTGGGTTGCTGTCAACTGTGCCCAGGGTCGGCGATGAGAAAGTCCTGGGAGGGCATGATCTGGGCTTTTATCTGAAGCTGTCCCCTGAGAAGGTTGCTGCCCCAGAAGCACCAGGAGCACTTGGCACGGATCTATCACACAAACTCCGAGGAGAGAGTGGGGCAATGCCAGGACAAACAGGGAGGTGGGCAGCGGGCCCAGCCACCAACGCCCCTCCCCTATAAACCAGACCCTGAGATGGGAGGGAAGGGCCCCCAGGAAGCACAGCTGGGCAGGCTGGAGGATGGCAGGCATGCAGGCGCACCATCGCGCACACACCCTCAGGATGGCCAACACCACTCACACAGGCCTGTACCTCGACAGCTGTACCACACAGGCCTGCGACGACCAAGGGAAGTTTATTTCTGCATTTCCTGACACATACCCGTAGAACTAGCCCCCAAATAAACGCATGTCCCAGACCTAGCAGCAGTGCCCCAGGCCTGACCCTCTCCTCCGGGAAGGGTGACACAAGGCGTTGCGCCTGCCAGAGTAGGAGACCTGGAGCACCCTCAGGCCGTGCAGTGCTCCCGGCCAAGCCCAGGGCTCAGACAAGGAGGTGGCTGGGATGGGAGACACAGAGGCTCAGCTGGTGACTGTACACAGACACTCGGACACTCGACTGCCTGGGCCCGTCCCCGAGACCCGTGACACTGTCCTCTGCTCAGGTTCAGCATGTTTTCTCCCGTCTCTCTTGTTTGCTTTCAGTTTATGCTTTGCATATTCCTCAGGGCTGAGACACTCAAGCTAATCCAGAGGTTGCCGTGGGGGCCCCTGGAAGAGGTCCCTGGCCACCTCCCACAGGCTGCCGGTCCCCATGGAGCACCCCGGGCTCTCCCCAAGGCTGTGCTCACAAAGAAGCTGCTCCCCAGGGAAGGCTTCCAGCCCTCGACCAGAGCCTCATGGGGGCCGGCCATGGCGGGTGTGACCCCGCACACACAGCGTGGCCAGGCCTCAGGAAAACACAAGACCCCAAAGTGCCAGAGAGACAACCCTGACCAGGCCTACATACTCTTCATCCTGAAGCCAAAACAGAGAAAGAGTGAAGGAAGATACTCCAGCAAACAAGATCCCAGGGCTAGAGAGGAGGAAGGCGGTGGGGAGACACAGGGGTCCTGCTCCTTTCAACGGCAACAGAGACAGCAGCTTTCAGGGCTGGGCTCAGAAAGCAAGCTGACTGCCCACCACGAGACAGGCAGAGTCCCCTCTGCTCTCAGGGGTTCTGGCCAGGCGTCCTCCCTCGAAATCCTTGTCCAGGGCACCCAATGCCAGCGTGGGGACCACAAATCACAAACAGGGACGAGAGCACAGCAGCACCCGGGAAGGCCTGCCTGCCTGCTGCCCTCGGAGGCCCCTGGACATCAAACAGCAGCTCAGCTTTGATGTCGGCTCCTCCAGAGGGATCGGATTCCCGCGTGTGGGATCTGAGGAGAGGCCTGTAAACACGCCGAGGGGAGGGGCAGCCGAGATCACTTCCAGACTTTCCTGGCCAATTAACAGCGCTCTCCCATCCGGCCGAAGACAGTGGACCAGGAGGTTCCAGCTCAACGGAGAGCCGAAGCCACCACTCCCTGCAACAGACATTGCTAAAGTTCCACGTGTCTCAGAGGGAGCCTAGAGGGGACCTCCCGGGGACCCTTGTGCCCCTGGACCTGCTCCCACCCCCCAGCCCAGACAGAGCCACTGGACGCCACTTGGCCCAAGGGATGATGCTGGGGAGGAGTGGCAGGATCTCACTCTATCTAAGGCCGGCACACCTGCTCTCGGGGCCAGGCCTGGGGCCAGCAGGGTCAGCCAGGCAGGGCAAAGGCGCTGCTGCTGCTGTGCTCTTCAACCACCATGGAGGGTGTCACCCCATAGACATGGGCCATCCGCCCACCCAGATGGCTCCTGGCAGGGCTCGCGGGGAGGTGATGCTGTGAACTGGGGGCAAGGCAGGCATCTGGAGCCCCTTCTGTTTTTGTCACCTGTTTGGGCCTGACCAAGTTGGGCTGGTACAAACTCAGGTGCCACCGACACAAGCCTGACACCACAGCACTCCCACACAAGAACAACCAAGGGCTTCCCTGGTGGCGCAGTGGCTGAGAGTCCACCTGCCGACGCAGGGGACACGGGTTCGTGCCCTGGTCCAGGAAGATCCCACATGCCGCGGAGCGGCTGGGCCCGTGAGCCATGGCCGCTGAGCCTGCGCGTCTGGAGCCTGTGCTCTGCAATGGGAGAGGCCACAGCAGTGAGAGGCCTGCGTACCGCAAAAAAAAAAAAAGAACAACCAAAACTGACAAAAACCAACTGAAACTAACAGAGCTGTGACTTCAGGCTCAGAGGGGTCCCTGCTGCCACAAGGAAGCCCAGGGTGGGTGAGGCCACATCCCAAGGGGCCAGGTGGCTCACATCCACCACCACCCAGCAGCCCAACCCACAAAGAGATGAGGCTGTGGCCCAAGGGAGCAAGGAGGCCGAGGCTCGGCCGAATCACAGAGACTCCTCCTCCAGAGCAGACGGAGTGGGCAGTTGCAGGGGGAAGGCAGCCTCTGGCCTTCCCAAACAAGACGGGGGGTGGGGAGGTGCTGCGCGAGAGCCCTGAATCTAGGCCTCTGGCTGCCCGCCCACAAGGCTCTGGGTCTGGGCACAGCGTGACCACAGGCCGGCCCCCAACCTCAGGGGCAGCCCCTCCCTGCAGCCCGCTGTGCCCTGGGGGCCCTACGACCCTGAGAGAACAGGCAGACACCTACCTTTCCCAGGGACACTCGACTCCCTGCTTTTACTATGCATGGGATGAACACGGCTGAGATGGACCAGTGGGCTTGGCTGTGAAATGAGGCCAGGTGTAGAGGGGCAACGGGCTTCCGGGAAGAATCCAGCCTGGCATGGCATGCCTGGAGCCCTCCCTGAAGCAGATGCCCGAGAAGCAGAGAGGAGGACGGGCCAGCCCACATGGAGCCAGTGCCCTCCGTGGCGGCTACCCGTCCACACGGGTGCCGAGCACGCGCAGGGCAGCTGGCCCAGAAGGAGGCCAGCTCCAAGTGTGAGACACACCAGATTTCAAAGACCTCCTACCAACAAAGAATGTAAAATATCTCCTTTTTCCTGTTGATTACACGTTCAGAGAATATTTTGGATATATTGAGTCAAGTTAATTATATTCCTAAAATTAATTACACCTGTTTTTACTTTCCTTTGATGTGGCTACCAGAAAATTCTGAATTACCTCCATGTCCCGCACATGTGGCCCACATGGCATGTCCAGTGGACAGTTCATTGCTCCAGATGCTAGGGTCAGGGCCGGGCCACCATCCACCCTGATCCCCATGCATAGGACCTGCCTCCTGACCAACAGTGGATCCAGGGTGCTGTGCTCATCTCCCACAGCTCCCGGCCACGCACGGCACCAGCTGCTCTGGGACTCTTACTGCTCCCAAAAGCATCAAGTGAGAAAAACCAGCTTCCTACTTGTCCCACTCTGTGGGGACTTGGACACTTGGAATTCCCAGAGCTTCCTGCCCCCGGCCAGCAAGGGAGCTGCTGTGAGCCAGCCAGAGCTCCCTTGCCTCACCGGACCTGTCAGGCAGCTGCCCCCCATGTTGGCAGGCCCTTGCAGTGGTGGGCAGCTGATGCAGCCCCTGCACAGCCCCAGCATGGTTTCGCCAGCTCACTGGGCATCTGGCCATGACGTTGGGGCTGAAGACGCTGCCCTCCCTCCCTCATCTGAACCTTGCTTCACGGTTAGGGAGTGCCAGCTTCCAAGGAAAGGCCCGGACCTGCACTTCCGGAGATGAAGCCGAGACAAGTCCCCATTTGCTGGGCCAGCAATTCTGCCTCCAGAGTAAATTCTCAGGGCGGAGTGGGGCACAGACCTCCAGCTGCCCACAGGATGGGCTGGGCGCGCGCGCGCACACACACACAGGATAGGACTGCACAGCCATGGAAACGATGCTGAGGGCATTTCCAAGAAAACGCAGAACAGTCACAGCAAGAAAGAGAGGGTGCAAGCCGTGCCGTGCTCAACGCTGCATGAGTCAAGAATCCGTCCCTGCGCACAGCAGGAAAGAGAGGGTGCGTGCTGTGCCGTGCTCAACGCCGCACGAGAGTCAAGAATTCGTCCCTGCGTGACGACCCCTCCCAGGGCCCACATCCTCCTGATGTCACCTCGCTTCTTATGCCGCTGTCCCCACTGCCCCCACATTCTGTTTCTTGTATCTTAAACCCAGGTTACTGAGTCAGTCAGTCCTGAGAGGCTCGTGTGAACCAGTGTTCCCAGCACCTCGGCCCCTCCACAGAGGCAGCCCCCAGACCGCCCAGCCAACAACTCGAGGGCCAGATGGGAGCATCAGGCTTCATCATGACAGGGCGACCCTGGCTCCCCAGGCCAACAGCTGAGGAACCACCCAGTCTTCCCGGGGGGATGGACCCCGTACCATGGAGCCCCGTCTCCTCCCTCTGGGTTACTCCTCCTTTTGGTGGTCACAGCCTAAGCGGGGGGCCTGGCAACATGGGCTCCCACCACGCCTGTGTCTGGGGCCCAGGCGTCAGCCCCCCACGCCCCTCGTCTGCCTGCTTCTGGGTGGACCTGCCCGCCTGCCCTTTGGTGGAGCAGTTAGTAGCTTGCTCAGAGGGTGTGTGCGGTAAATGGGTGACCTTTGTGTCTAAAAATGGCTTTGTTTCATCCTCACCCTTCAACAATCTAGCAAAATAGAGAATTCTAGAACAAATGAATTTCCTACAGTATTCTGAAGGCACTGCTTGGCCACCTTCCTGGTGGTGCCACAGGGAGCCTGAGGCCTTTGTGCAGGACTGCTGTCCCTCTCTGAGCGTGGGGAACCATCCCATCATCTCCAGCTCCTGATGAGTTACAGTGATGCCACCAGATGAGGCCCCACTGGTACAGGCATAGCCGGCCTGTCACTCTGGAAACGCATGCCCTTCGGTTCCAGGACGGTTTCCCACCATCTTCACCAGCTTCCTCCTGTGCTTCTGCTTTATTTCTAGAGATGCAGTATCAGGAGCCAGCGGCCTGTCCTGTCCCGAGTCCCCTTCCTCTGGCCTCCATCCTGTGCTTGGCCGCCTGGCTCTGTGGCTCCTCCCAGGAGGAGGGATGGCAGGGACCCTGCACCCCAGGTCCAAGCATCGGCTCCCAAGCCTCGAGTGGCGGACCCCACGTGCCCTCAGGCATTTGCCACCTCGGAAAGAATGCGCTCAGTCAGGCTGCAGACCAGCCAGTCACACCGGCTAACCCTCAGGCGCGTGAGTAGAACGGCATATCCTCGGACCACCGGCCACTCCCAGACACGCGGCACCCTGTCATGTGTGACAGGGATTGTGCTGTTTGATCCATAGCTGTGGCTGACCCCTGCACCTTCTACTGCAGCTTTCCGATCCACTTCCAAGGGCTCTTCCTTTTTTTTTTTTTTTTTTTTTTTTTTGCAGCACGCGGGGCTCTCACTGTTGTGGCCTCTCCCGTTGCGGAGCACAGGCTCCGGATGCGCAGGCTCAGAGGCCATGGCTCACGGGCCCAGCCGCTCCACGGCATGTGGGATCCTCCGAGACCGGGGCACGAACCCGTGTCCCCTGCATTGGCAGGCGGACCCTCAACCACTGCGCCACCAGGGAAGCCCTTCCTTATCTTTGAATGTTTCTTTTTAATAGCATCCAGCTCCAGTTCCAACAGCCCCTCCATCCTCGGAGAACAGGAACAAATGCTGTCACCTGTCCTGACAGCTGCCATCTCTTCCTGTCTGTCTGCATTGGCCTCTCCGTCAGCCTTGCTCAAATGTCTGGGCACCTTTGGCTGTGGGCTCCTGTTTACGCCCAGGGCTCTGGCCGCAGTGCAGCTATCAGTATCCAGGTGGTGATCTGGGGAGCCACCCATGCCCCCAACATTGGGAGCTTCCACCATTTTGGAAGCCACATGGGGGGCTCACGCTCACCTACCCCGGTTCTCGGGACAGCAAGGGCATCCCCAGTCCAGAGAGCCCCACCCTACCCAGGGAACCAGCTCTGGCACCAGCAGCATGGAGTGCGAGGGGATCTAGGACCCCACGTCATCCAGCGCCTGCCCTGGCCACCCCCCTGCCACCCCTGGCCCCTTGTCACCCTCCCCACCCACGTCCAGGTGCTGTCACTGCCTCAGCTCCTGCTCTCTCCATCCTCCAGGCTGTATCTCTGTAAAGTCCTTTAATGACGTTTTAGTTGCCTTTTGGGAGGGAGAAGAATCACAAGCTGTGTTCCATGTGTTTCTCCTCTCCTTATTTCTGCCCCAGGGCCTTTGCACTTGCTCCTCCTTTGGCCCAGATGTCTCCTTCTCAGATCCTAGTGCAGCTGGCTCCTCCACGACCTTCCCCACCACCTCCCAAGGCATCTTCCCTTCTTCTTTGTGATAGCTTCTGATAGTTTCTTCTGGTAGTTCTGTATACCTGCCTATTAGCTATGGGAGACCAGGACTAACTTCCTACTAGAGCCCCAGCCAAGCCTGTGCTGAATAAATGAAAGAAGGAAGTAGAAACAGAGGCAGAGGCCCCATCTTTTCAGCAGCTGAGAAGGCAGGTGCTGGCAACCCAGGCCCTGGGCTTTGAGGAGCCCCCTCCTCCCCTGGGTCTCTGTTTCTTCTTCTGAAAACAAGGGTAACAGCAGCCTGACCCCCCCAGCTGACAGAGGAACCAGTCAGACAACAGGTGCCAAGAGCAGTAGAGTGAGGTGGCAGCCTATGTACCCATTTTAGAAGCACTAATACTGTCAGAAGCCACCTGAGTGGGGACAGAGTTCTCTCAGGAGAGCATCTGGGTAGGAAGCAGAAGCTGGCTGCAGGGGCGGCATCCCCGGCTACCCAGGACCAGGCTCATAGGAGGGGAAGGGGCCAGCTGGTCTTTGCACAGCAGCCCACCGTGGCCTCGTCATAGAAAGAACTGGCAACAGGGGGACACCAGCACATCAGATACGGGGAGAGGAGTTCCATGGGAGCGGCTGAGGTGGGGGAGCAGGAATCTGGATGCTGGGACAGCAGGGGCAGTGGGTGCCACATCAGATCAGAGCAGGCTTTCCTAGAGGCCCTGTCACCGTGATGGCCCTACCCAGAGCCCCTTCTTCTGCACAGACAAACCGTGGGCAAGGTCCTGTTCTCGGCACTTGAGACACATTAACTCATCTCATCCTCACATCACCCCTGCAAGGCCCACAGAGGGCAAACAACTTGCCCACGGCCACACAGCAACCACTACACCCTCTCACGGTCCCTTCCATTCTGTTGGTTGAGACCTTTAAAAGTGGACAAAGTCTTCCATCCCACAATGAAAAACCAAAACTTAGAAGACTACCATTTTGACACACTCAGAAATAAAGTTTAAACCATTAATCACCAGATAGAAACTGACACATGTTAACTGTCATCAAGATGTTTTCTTTAAATACGGCCCATTCTCACGACAAGGAAGTTTTACACCTGCAACATTTGTCTGCTGAGAAGCCCAGCACCCCACTTCTCCCCTGACTGCTCACCACACAGGTGGGGACCTCTTGGGTTCCCCACAAGCTCTTCCAGAAGGGCACGGCCTGGCTATCATACCAGGACACCAAGTAAAAAAGATGAGCTACTGGTGACCAGCACCTGCTGGTATGAAGTCAAAGCAAAGCTCAGGCTTGTGGCCCTGGACTAGCCCCAGTGACCGTGGCAGCATCCCCAGGGCAGAGGGAGGCAGAGCCCCAAACCTGCTCACTGACACTTACCTGATCTGGGCAAAGCGGCAGAGAAGCTCCCAGAGTGTCTGGCCTGAGCAGAAAGTGTCTTGCAACCTGGAGCCATCATCCAACTGCAGAGCAATGCGCACCTGAGGGGCGAGATACAGGAACCAAGTCAGGAAGAGGAGCAGCTATCCCAGCTGGACCCCAGACCAAGTCTGATCCTTAGGGCACAGGCGGAGGGCATTGTGTTTGCTGAATTTTAGTAAGGGAGCACACTGCCTTACAGGATAATTTTAACAATTATCTTCCTAAATAGTGACACAAGTCTATAACCCACAAGCGGGTAAATTCTCCTCTGGTCCCTCTGTTGAACAACAGACACACTAAAGCACGAGTGCAGAGACCCAAGGTAAGGACCTTGCACAGCCCCACCTGTCACAGCCCAGCGCATGACTCTCTAGGTCATTGCTACTCCTGCCCTTCTAGCCAAGGGACTCCTCAAGGGCACGTTTATTTACATTAAATCCCAATAACAAACAAAGGAGGAACTGTTCTGTGGGAAGAAACTGCGAGGGGGTCTCCAGCACACCCAAGGAACCCACAAGGGAAGTCAGGGTGCTTCCATGTGAAAGGCTGAGAACCACAACTGTAATGGAAAAAGAGGTGTATTAATAAGCTCAGCCCCAGGCGCCTGACTCCTGGTGGGCTCTGGACAGAGAACTAACACCCCAGGGCCTGAGCCTCCTTGCCTCTCGACATGGATGAAAACCACTTCCCTGCAGTGTTGGGAGAATTTGCAGTTTTGTATGTAAAGGACCCACTTGTGCACAAGAGAGCAGCTATCACCATGATTCTTGTCTCTATCCACAGTAACCCTAGTGTCATTCACTAAATCCCTAGGACATAAAAGTTACTGATTTGGTAGAAAGCAGTGGACTGCAGTCAGGAGACTCGGGCTGTGGTCTAGCCAAGACTGGTCAGAGGAAGCCTGCGCCCCTGAGCTGGGTGTCCTCGTCCCAGAAGTGAGGCTCCACTGGACACCGCACAGAGTCCTGTGGGCTCTAAGACTCTTGGTGATTTTCTGACCAGAAACATCAGGTCGTATGGTGGATGCTACCAGCACGCTGATATGGACACAGCACAATTAATCGCCTCTCCACCCCCCACCCCCAAAAAACATTCAGCACAAAGAATGAAAAGTCTCATTTCCAATCATCAGCTTTTGGAGTAGAAAAGTGGCTCTGGCCTAACCTAGAGAAGGCAGCCTCACCCAAGGACGAGGACAAGTGCCTCGCCTGCACAGCCCTCTGAAACAGCCCACGCTCCACACCCCGTCTGCTCGGCCTGCTGATACATCCTGCGGCCCAAATGGTCTGAATGGAAGAGCCGGGAGGAGCAGTGAAGCCAGTCCCTCCTTGAGAGCCACCTACCATGTTCTCGGGCCCCTCGCGGCTCCGGGAGATGGGCACCATCTCCAGCTTGGCGTTATTGGGCAGATTGGCAAATCTCCACTGGAGAGAGAGGTCAAGCACATTCCTCTGAAACCTGCAAAACAGACCAAAGCCACAGGCTGCCCGCCGACCCGAACACAGCCCAGCCCTGCCAGGACCACGGCACAAGCAGAGTGACGCCCACGTCTGGCTAGCAATTCCACAGCCCATGGCGCCAAGGCTGCAGGAACAGAGTGACGGCCGGCAAGCCTGCAGAGACAGGGTGGGTCCCTGACTCCAGCAGTGGGTCTTCCAAAGGAAAGAGAGAGTGAGCATTGATACAGTTCAGGCAAGAACAGAGAGAACACAGACAGGTCACCCCTGGGGCAAACCGAGGGCCTGCTCTTTCAGACTGTGAAGCAGCAACCAGCCCAAGTACAAACTCAGAAGATAAAAGCGCACGTGGGCATGACTAAGGGGTGTGCACCATGCTCTGCGCAGAAAAGTTCTAACAGAACGATGCCTTGTCGCCACTGCTCGGAGCTGCAGCAGTCTGGCCACTGTGGCCACTCTCCCTGTGCTGCTGGCCATCAGCCAAAATGACCCGCTCCTGTCACTCCTGCTTCCTGCTACCCTTGGAAGCAGGGCCACAACCCCAAAGACCAGTGACAGAGGCAAAAGTTCTAGAGAACCACAAATGGAATGACCGGGCCTGAAGTCTCCATGGAGAGCCAGGCCCTCACGGTGGCTGAGATTCACAGATGAAGGGCTGAGACCGCCATTCCTAGCTCACAAAGCCAGGTCCTCCAACCCTGGAGCAGCCCTTCAGTCTCTCTGCCTGTGGCCTGCATGTTTTAGCTGCTGCACAGGGACCTGGCAGCTTAGAGCTTCCAACAGATGAGGAAGAGGCCCACATGGGCTTGCAGCCTCCTCTGACCCTCATGCATAGAGCTCCTGGATCCAAGGAGGGATGGTTCTTGGAAGGAACTGAGGGGAGCAAAGTGAACTGGTGAGTCAGGGCGGAAATATCCACAGCCAGGAGAGAAGGGCAGGTGGAGAATCCAGGGACCTCCGAGACGCCTGCTGCTCTCTATTGACAGCCTGCCCTCCCGAGACGCACAGTCAGGGTCGTGGTCACCCTACTTCACAAACAGGAAACTCAGATGAGAAGTGCCAGTAGGTAGCCCAGGCCACCCAAAGGCAGTGCTGGGACCACAATCTGCAGCTCCTGATATCCATCTCAGATCATACCTCTTTGGTGGACTGACAGGGAGGCAGATACCCACTCCTGAGAAGAGGAGAGAGAGGAAGGGGCGTGGGCTTTGAAGGCCTGGACACTGCCTCACCCGTGGGCAGGGAGGGTGGCAGTCAGGTGGCCCTGGAGCCTGAGTGACCCTGGGCCCTCTCCTCCTGACCCCCTTAGCTCCCAGGAACCCTACAGGAAGGAGAACCACCACTGTTAACCCTATAGATCACCTGGGTCTCAGAAAAGCTCCTGCCCACAGTAGAAAATAGTTCTGCCGTGTGGCCTTGACTTTACAAGAGACAGACAGCAGCCAGAATAAGTCACCAGGAGAGGGAAAAAGAGAACTTATTTATGTCTCTCAGAAATCAGACTGTGAGCTCTATTTTCAATGAACGTTTAGGGGAAAAACTACAGCACTAGTGAGAGAATGTGAGCTTTGAATACACACAAAGTGGTCACCCGATGGCATGAATGCCAAGATGCCTTTGGAAACAATGGTTTTCTGAACATGAATAGGGCATTTAGAAGACTTGGGAAAGAAACACCTTTGATACCCATCTTCAACACTGGCTGGAAATTGCCTTATAACAACCTCAACGTCAAGTGCAAGACAGGACAGATGACCTAAGGAAAACCCGAGAAGCGGGGCTCAGAGCTCTGGAGATGAGAGGAAGGGGTCTCACACACGTGCACACACATGTGTGTGCAAAACGCTGCCTTCGGTGGCAGTGGCAGCAGTTTTTAAACAAATTACACAGTTGGTGGATACAAAGGAGACAAGAGAAAAATCAATACCTGTTGTAACAGTCCAACCAGGCACCACGTGGAGATCTCAGGCAGGTTCAGGGAGAGCAAAGAAAGGGCACACAGCTCTGTGACAGGATGCCAGGGGACAGCCCAGCACTGGCCCTAGGATTCTCGGTGGCAAGAGGCAGAGACCTGGGATGATGTGAGGGCATCTCCACTCACACCTCCTCTGCAGAGCCCTACGTGAGAGGCAGCACGGGCCAGGTCTAGTAGAGCAGGCTCCCACCCCTTGGGCTCCTCTCTACCCCTGAATGTGAGGACAGCCAAACAGTGAAGGACACGCCGCTGCTAAGATTGGAAGCTCCCCATACGGGACAGAAATCCATACCAACCAGTGAGGCGTTTTGAGCCTTTCATTGCCTTAGACCCCACAAGAATCTGGTAAAAGCCCTCTCTTTGGAAAAATGCCTGCACACAAAGACCCATGCACACAACTCCAGAGTCTGTGAGCCCACCAGAACCCACCTACAGTTTGCAGGTTTCTTCCCATTTCTCCATGACCACCTCCTCTTGCCCTCAGAGCTCCACCAGGAACTTACACAACCAAATGCACAAAAGCCCTCTGCAGTGAGTAGAATGGTGGCCCCTAAGGAGACATATCCACATCCTAACACCCAGAACTCATGAATGTGCCTTATTTGGAAACAAGGCCTTTGCAGATGTAATTAAGGATCTTGAGATGAGGTCATCCTGGATTACATGGTAGCCCCTAAATTCAAAGACAAGTAGCCTTATAAGAGACAAAAGAGGAGAGACACAAACACACAGGAAGCAGGGAGGCAGAGACTGGAGGGAGGCGGCCACAAGCCCAGGGATGCCTGGAGCCCCCAAAAGCTGAAAGAGGCAAGACAGGTGCCTCCCCTAGACCTCTGGAGGGAGTGCGGCCCCACCAACACCATCATTAGGGGCTTCTAGCCTCCAGAGGATGAGAGAATAAACCTTGTGGGTTTAAGCCTCAGCAGGGCCCTGCGGGAAGGGTGGATGGATTTGGAGCCCGAGGCCCGGCCAAAGCAAACTCACTTCAGGTCGTACTCGTTGGGGTTGAAGTCCTGCCGATGGCACGTGTCCTCCAGAACCTAGGGGTGAGATGAGGGCATGAGCCACTGTATCTGGCCTGGTGGGCCCCGGCGGGGGTAGGCAAGTGACACTGAGGCAGCCAAGGGCACAGAGTCCACCTCTTGGAGAGCCGGTCGGCTCTGTAGGACTAAGCCTAATACAAGCCAGGTGATGGACCGTCCACTCAACAGCTCCACACGTCTCACCTGCAAATCCTGCTCACTCTCCTCCTCCTCACTGGGCCTGCTTTGTCAACCCAGCTCTGTGGGACCCAACAAACCGGGTCCCCAACAAACCCGGCACCACAGACATCTTCCTACACTCGGGGACACCCCACACACAGAGAATAAAGTTCAAACTCCACAGAGACCCAGCTCGAGTGGGTCCTAGGTGCCCCCCTGGGCGGGAGCCCCAGTCCCTACCCTGCACACACTGAGTTACCATTCATCGTCTCAGCCCCCTGCACCACCGTGTATGTGCACCGTCCCCTACACTTCAGGGTCCAACAAGCATTTCCAACGTAATGCAATCGACGTCCGCCAGGTGCCCGGTGAAGTGCTGCGAGTGACTCAGCACACCCGGCCACAGCACACCGAGACGAAGGGCGACCCCGGGGTGGGGACAAGGTTCGGGGGCCCTCGGAGGCGGGCTCGGAGGACCGCGAGCTCGGGTGGGGGTGGCAGAGGCCGCGACCCCTGACAGCCCCTGAGTGCGGCGCCCCCGCCCCCACGGACCCGGAGCCCGGCGCGGAAGTGGGCGGGCCCACCGCGCCAGGAGGCCGCTCATTGGACGTCGCAGACCCCGCCCCGAGGGTCCCGCCCGGCCCCGCCCCGCGGCCCTCGCAAGAACCGCTGGAGCGGCCGGCGCCGAGTCGCGGCCGTCGCGTCCCTGCTTGCCGCCCGCCGCCCGCCCGCGGCCGCACCTGCAGTAGCACTGTGCTCGGCGTCACCTTCACCGTGTGGCGCCGCCCGTTCGGGGCCAGCACCGACACCGCAGAGCCCCCGCTGCCCGCCGGGGCCGCCATCTTCTCCTCACGTGACCTGCCGCCGCCCGCCCAGCGTCAAACTTTATCCGCAACAGCCGGACGCACAGCCTCGCGGCCTCGGGGGCGGGCCCTGGGGCGGGGCGGGGCCAGCGCGCCCCCGGGCCCGCCCCTGCCTGGCCACGCCCCCGGTGCTTTCGCGGGGCCCGCGAGCGCGCGCCCGACGTTAGATAGGCGCGGTCACTCCAGCGCGGCCACGTGGCCCCGGTTCTGGGCCGGCGGTGCGGGCAGCGAGTGCGTCTAGGCCTCGGCTCCCTGTCCTCGCCGGCCCGTCCTGGGTCCCACTGCCCCCCTTCCTGCCCCCTCTGGTCCCGAGGGGTAGGGTCAGGCCCGGTACCCCTGCGGAGTGAATGCCTGCCGGCCGTGGGGTGGTGTCAAGGTCAGGGAGCAGCTGCCAGGAAAGGCCGGCCAGAAACTCCAAACCAGAGAGCAGATTCAATGAAAGTCTGTGACGAGCATTGTGCCTGTCCGTGCTCTCACTCTGCCAGCAGCTAAACTCTTGACAGAACTTGTCCCCCAATTCCACCTGCCCAAGGCAGTGGAAGGGCCGGGAGGAGGGGCATGTGGGATCCTGCCACCCCTCTGGTGTGGGTGCTGTCATGCCTTGGTGTAGCTGACACATCTGTCTCACAAGCAGTTTCATACTGACAAACAGACGACTGCATGCTTATGCGAGAAAACGGGAAAGCCTCAGGGTAGCCACAGCTCCACGGCCACCCCCGAGGGACTGTGTAGCACTCTATGCAACCTCAGTGCCTCACCGAGCCACACACACTTCCTGGTCCCCATCGGCCAGTCCCCTCTCCTGAGGCCGGGGAACACCACAGGACACAGGACAGAGAAATTTTCTGGCTCAGAGACAGCGGTCTGCTGACCTGCCCCACCCCCTCCTACCTGCTCACATGGGTCTCATCATCTATGTGTAGCCGAGTACACGAGGCCTTGGAGCAGACACCTGTGGGGCATTTGTGACCACTGCCTGCAAGCTCTCAAACCCACCCTTCAGCCCAGCAGGGCCCCACATGCAGTTCTGCGGCAGCCAGGCCCCAAGTTGCCCCCAACCTGGCCTCTTCAGCACTGTGGGGTTTCCTCAGAGCCTCATCTGCACTGGGACAGGCCTTTCGTGCCTGCTCACTTGTTTACTGGCTGTCCCAAGGCAGCCCCGTCTGTCTGGCCCTCCGCCGGCAGGCACGCAGAGCAGAGCCTGGCACGGGGTGGGTGCTCTGCAAACATCTGTGAGAGGAATGACTATCGATGGGACAAACGAATGCACAGTCCCCCCACATGTGCCTTCTCCTCCTTCTGCTGCCACTCACCTGGCAGGGGCAGGGTGCCCCAGGCTCAATGGGGTCTGTGTCCTGGCATTGGCACTAGGAGGTGGGAAAGGCAGAGCAGACCCGCCTCCCTTAGTGGCCTGGCTGGGCCAGACCTGGTGAAGACCAAGCAGGACAGACCAGACCCCACGAAGCTCCCATGAAGCAAGCCCCAGAGCCGACCCCTGGATGCTGGATCTCAGCTTGAGAAGCCTCCAGAGGCTGGAAATGCCCAGCAGAGGCTCCCCTGGTACAGGGGATTATTTCAGGCTGGAGGCAAAAATTCCAGGTTAACACACCAGCTCCACACCACAGCAGGAAGGACCCTCACCTGCCCCATGGCAAGTTTGCCATAGATTAGGACCCACACGCCTGGCCCTCCATTTGCTCTGTGGGGAGGCTGCCTCCTCGTGCTTACCTTCCACAGTTCCTCGCTGCAACTTGGCACCTTCCCTCAAGGCCCCATCACCTCCTGCGGGTGGTCCAGGCACAGCCTTAAGGGCGTGATCACAGCAGAGGTCACAGAGATAACTGTAGGGTCAAAGATCATCTTTGGGGGACTCCCCTGGTGGCCCAGTGGTAAAGAATCAGCCTTACAGTGCAGGGGATACGGGTTCGATCCCTGGTCAGGGAACTAAGATCCCACATGCAGCGGGGCAACTAAGTCTGCGTGCCACAACGACTGAGCTCGCGAGCCTCAACTAGAGCCCACGCGCCCTGGAGCCCTCACACCACAACTAGAGAAGAGAAAACCTGAACACCACAACTAGAGAGAAGCCCGCATGCTGCAGTGAAAGATCCCACGTGCTGCAAATAAGACCCGATGCAGCCAAAAAATAAATAAATAAATACATAATCTTTAGGAAAAAAAAAATCATCTCTGAGAGGCATTCAAGGCCCCAAAGGGGAGCCTCTTCTTTGTGCTCATAGTTCAGCCTTTCTCTGCAGCTCACATTTTTCTTTCCAATTTTGCTGTTTTAAAAAATGACAGATCTGCACATTAACTTTCACAGCAGCTTTATCTAATAGTCAAAAGCTGGAATGAACCTGGATGACCGTCAACAGGTTGAGCAGTTAAACAATGTGGCACATCCACACATGGAACACTGCTCAGCAATCACGGGAATGAACTACTGACACCGCAGCCTGGGTGAGTCTCCAGGGAAACATGCTGAGTGAAAAGAGCTGGTCCCCAAAGATTGCATACTGTGCCATTCCATTTATATAGCATTATGGAAATGACAGCATTTGCCTTTTCTCTCTGCATTAATATATGCATATATATTTATATTTGAAAGTAAGTTGATGACATCCAGGTACTCTCCCCCCAAATAATGCGGCAGCTCCTCCTAAGAACCAGGACCTTCTCCTTTTTAATCATAACCCATCACCACACCCAACAACCATGGATATAATGATATTATCTAATACACAGCCCACTTTAGACTTTCCCTTGTTGTCCCCAAATGGTCCTTTATAGCTGGTTGTCACATTGCATTTTGTTGTTGGGTCTGTTTACACTCCTTTAATCTACCACAGTCCTGGGAATTCCCTGGCGGTCCAGTAGTTAGGACTCTGCACTTTCACTGCTGAGGGCATGGGTTCGATTCCTGGTTGGGGAACTAAGATCCTGCAAGCTGTGTGGTGAGGCCAGAAAAAAAAAAAAAAAAAAACACCCTACCACAGTCCCTCTATTTTTTGTTTCGTGTTAATTTTTCATGACATTTGCATTTTTTAGAGCCCAAGGCTGGATCTGTCTGATCTTTTCCTGGAGTTAAACATTCAGTGCAGTGAGGCAGCATAGATGACAGCCCCCCAGGAGGTCCAGGATATCAGTTTGTCCCATTAGTGGGGACATGCAGACTGAACCTCCATGTTCCAGGTCCCGTGTAGACTGAATAAGCTATGTGTGGGGTAATTCTTTGAGAGCACAAATATGATGTTTTTCCAAGAACCATTTACCCAGTGGTTTTAGCATCAGTTGATGGTCCTTGCCTGAATCCATCATTACATTTATGGTGCAAAATCACAGCCTTCCAACTTTATCATTCCTCTACATTTAATAGGCATTTTTTGGTCAAGAATTTTTTTTAATTCCTAAATATTAATATGAACTCATGGATTCTTTTTCTTCATTCAGTTATTCTTTCTGATGCTCAAATTTGATCCAAATTTGGCCAGTGAGACACACACCCCCTTTAAGCTGGCTCCTATGCTCCCTTGGGTGGGGGGGCAGTGACTTCTTATTTTCATATTATTTCAAATGTAGAAGTTACAAGAACAGTAAAAGGAACTCCTGCATACCTCTTAGACAGACTCTCCAGTTGTTTACATGTTGCCCATTTGCTTCATCATCATTATCTCTCTCTCTCTCCATATATGTGTATATATGTTCTGAACCACCTGAGAGTAAGTGGAGACATTGTTCACCTCTGCCACTAAATATTTCAGTGTGTATTTCTCAAGAGCAAGGCCACTCTCTTACTTCACCACCGAACTGTGATACAACATTGGGAGATCTGTCATTGATACCACACCCCGAGCTACTCTACAGTCACCTGTAGCACTCACATCTTTCCTGCATCTTTTCGATGTTTGTGTTGTTCTCTGAGCACTTCATCACTTCAGCCACAAGAAAGTATTTTAGGCCCCCCCAGGATGTCCCTGCCCCAGCCCTGAATGCCATTTCTCAAGGAAGCCCTAGTCCCTTTTTGAGGGGAATGAGATTTAGAAACCGAGGTCTGGAGCTGAGCACGTTCGTTGCTCCCGGTGTGCCTCTGGTTTGTAGGCCCTCTCAGGGCACAGAACTAGCATCCTGAATTCACCACCCCTCAGTCTTCTTCTTCCCTCCTTCCTTATTTATATTTGGTTGAATTGTATGAAATTGCCAATATTCAACCATTTTCAATCTACGAAAAAAGGCACAACCAAATATCCCCTTATCCACAGTGAGAACCCTTGTTTTCAGCAGCATCAATATATTTATAAATTTGCTCTGTTCCAAAATACCCTTCAGGGACTTCCCTGGTGGTCCAGTGGTTAAGACTCCGCACTCCCAATAGAGGGGGCCCGGGTTTGATCCCTGGTCAGGGAACTAGCTCCCGCATGCATGCTGCAACTAAAAGATCCCACATGCTGCAACGAAGATTCCCACATGCTGCAACTAAGACCCGGCGCAGCCAAATAAATAAATAAATATTAAAAAAACAACAACCCTCCAAATAGCTTTGGAATTACTACAGCAATACTGCTAGTAACCAGACCTACTAAGGAAATCTCAAGATTTCTTTGTAGTTATTTTTGTCCTCAGAATATATCGCAAAAAAGAAATACAGAGTATTGTGTTCAAAATTATTTGAATTAATTCTTTTTTGTGTGTGTGGTTATGTTAATTGGATACACATGTTCATTTATTACTGAATTTTAGGGTCTTTTTCACTCTTTTTTGATTTAATGTTATATTTTGATTATGAAAAATATTTATTTATTATTTGATTTGAATATTATTTGATTCAAAAGTTATAAGTATAAAATGACACATAGCCAGAAGAGGGTCCTCCTTCTTCATCCACTCCCACTCGCCCCCATAAGAACTAATCTTCTTCTGGTTCTGGGGTAGCTTTCCTGCCTTTTTGCAAAGATGAGCACATGCATGTAGCAGAGGCTAAGTGGACACAGATGTGGATTCTTCCTCTCCTTCCTTCTTACACAGCAGGTGAC